GGTGAGCACTTTTTCTGCACAATACGACGGGAGAGTTTCTTGTCTGTGTAATCCCTCTCGTTTGCGGTGGAAATTGTGGAGGAATTATGGTTCTTCAAAAACTGCGTATCTTATAATCAACATACCACAGAAAGCTTCAAATACTGAACTCTTCATAATCGAGCTTGACATAACCTGTCATCACCCTCGGACTCCATTTTGTTGGCCCTCATGACCAAAAGTAATAGTTTTTCCAGCAAATTTTGAGAAATTCTAGTATCATAGCTTAAATAACAAACATTTCACAGTAGGAGTGTAACGGTCCAAAAATAAATAAATTCGGTACATACCTCGGTTTAGAGGTCGGTGTTCGGTTCATTTTCGGTACAGTGGGAACAAAATGCAAAACCACTTGCTTGTTGTTTATTTGTGTGTTTATTAAACCAACAGTTTGTTTTAACATTATGCAAACAGGAAAATAAAATAAACGCAAAGTGCTGCTTCGTAATACTAACAAGTTAAATAAAATATTCTCAAATAAGCAACAACTGTATGAAATATTATAAAAAGTAAATTTCTTGTAAACAGTAAATAAAAACAAAACAAAAAAAAAGTAAAGTGCAGGACTAACCGGAATGAAGTTTTACCCAATCTTCATATTTTTGCCAGAAATAAACTTGTCCACATTAGGGACGGGCATTTGATGAAATTTTCTTAATCGATTGTCGGAAGAATTAACGATCGATTATCGATTTAATCATTAACATTTTCATATTAAAATGATCATCATTATTATTACTATTTGCACTAATCTGCATAAATAAATTAAACTTTACGATATATAAACTGTAACGACTCTAGATCCACATCAGCTGTTTGACATTATAATGTGTTTAATTCAGTTTTGCGCAAATCTCACAGAAACAAAACTTAAAACCACATCATTAATTTGCATAAACTAAGTGAAGATAAAACTCCAGCTCTTGTGTCGCTGATGTGGTTCAACTTGTGTTGGATTAAAAGACATGACTCAGGTGAATACAGGTCAGTGTGACCAGATTTGTGTTTGTCAAAACCAGGACAGCGTACGGGGGGAGGGGGGCGGGGCCTCGTCATCCACATTGAGCGACTCTCACCTGGAAAAACTTTTTCCCTCTGGACACAGAAACATATGTGCTGCTTTATACACTGTGCACATGGACTCACACTTGCCCCGAACGCAACGGAAAGTGTGGAATTTCTTGTCCAAATCATCGTTAAATCCACATTTGCACTTCAGTTCGTTGCAGACTGACCCACTGTTTGTGTCTCGCTCCTTCTGATGCAGAGACACATGTACACACCTGTTTGGTCACGACACACACAGCAACATACATTCAGTTTGTCGATTAAAATTAACGTAATCGATGAAATTCTTAATGATCAATTATCGATTAATCGGCTAATCATGCCCATCCCTAGTCCACGTTGTCTGCAGTAAAAAAATTTTAAAAAACTCACTCAGTCGTGCACAGCCACACACCGAACCGAACATCCCGTACCAAAACGTACAGCCCTAATATAATTGTTCCAGTTGTTAAATGCGTCTGGCTTCGTCCAACCTTTTGTACGATTCACTTCACTGCCCTGTGGTCTGTGGCCCTTTGCTCTGTATATGTTTCAATATATCTGTGAAAAAAGTTTGTACAGCCTTGATCTAATACGTGCAACTAGAGTTTGTCCCAACGATGTCAAATGTACTTGTACTTTTTTTTAAAAATCTGGAATACCTCATCAGTCACAGTGGATTGATTTGAGCGGCCTAGGCTTACTGTATCTGTGTGTAATGGCCGCGCAGACTATGTTTAAAGCCGCCCTTCCACCTCTTTGGCTCCAGAAGACACAGACAGACACTTTGACTTATGACGCACCGTAAAAATGAAATGAGGCTGTAGCAGGATTCCCGCTGATCTGCTGGAGAGGTGCGGCCGTCACGCACCGCTGAGCTAAAAGTGTCCCTTTATTTAAGAGCAGGGGCGCCCCCAAACCAGGAGTATTAATAGAGATGTGTTTGTGATGCGGAACAGTGGAACAGTTAAACCTCGGGTCATCCTTGCCAGACAACAGTTCAACACGTCCAGGTTTAGTGGCATCGGCGCTGGGTACTGGGTTCAGCTGTGAGGGTGCGGCAGACGAGCGTTGTAACAGCTACAAGGAAGAAACTCACTGACTCTCATCGGACAAATCTTGCAGTATTAAATATTAGTTATTGTTGTTGTTTAAACTGGACAAAAGTGGCAGTATGTCTGATTTTGGCTCCACCCCGAACCACGATGCTACTTTGTGATTGGTCCAGTCTCTGTCCCACTGGCGGATTAGACCCAATCACAACAGCGAGAGTTTGACCAGATGGATTTTCGTGAGTTTGTGAAATCAGAAATATCAATTGCCGATACGATACATACCTCGATACACAGGCCACGATACGATACATATCTCGATACAGCGCACTTTCCATTCGATATGATATATTTCAAATCGATTCGATACGGTTCAATAAAAAATAAAGGCTAAATCGTGGCTGTGATACTAAAAGTCTTTCTTAAACCACTTCTTGTGCAAAGTTCATATGAAACACAAACATTTTAATCCTCAAAACACTAAAAATGTCAAATGTGTCGCATAAATGAGTTTCCTTTCACTCCCCAAACAGCAAAACTGTAGCACTGTAACAAAATAATTTTGTAAAATACACCTAAAAATACACTCGGTGATATATCGATACAGCAGCCCAAGATATCAATACTGTATCATCACATTAAACGATGCGATATATCGATATTCCGATATTTTTGCACACCCCTAATAATATAATACATTTTTATTTATGAAGCACTTTTAAAAAACAGGGTTTACAAAGTGCTGTACAAGCAAAGAACAATACAAAAAGCATAAAAGTAGCACACAGAAAGTACAAAAACGGGCAATGATGCAAATAATCCAAATAATTATAACAAATAAATAAAAAGAAATAAAGAATAAAATCGAGTTAAAACCAGTTAAAGGAAGGCCAACCGATAAAAAAAAATCAGTCTTAAAAAGTGATTTAAAAGATGATCGTGATGGTGCGAGTCTTATCTCCTCAGGCAGGTCGCTCCAAAGCCGAGGCGCCTGGACTGAAAAGACTCCATCACCTTCATCCAGAATCTGGACTTTGGAACACAAGCCCCTCCCACAGTGCGGCTGATTAGAAGAACAAGACCAAACGTGAAGCAAAAACCAGTCTAAATTTGTGTTCCAGTGTTGGCACAAAGCAGGTCTACAGCATAGAGCGGATCTACAGAACAGACCTACTGCCACATTTGGCTGAAGTTTGTCTAACAAAAGTGACAAATGCATCTGTGTTTGTCACGATGTGCGTTTGGTTTGGTAAACGTGCAGAGGCTGGTAAATATCACTGCAAAACCAGAAAAGAATGTAACTCCAGTTTGGAACTTTAAAAAACAGGTTTAAAAATCTTCCTTCACTTTTTTCACAGTTTTGTGTAAAGTGCCAGAGGAAGTTCTCTTAAAGAAGAGGTTCTCAAACTGTGGGTGAGGGTCCAAAAAAGGGGCACAGAGTGTTTCAGTGCAGTTTGCTTGGCTTTGTATTAGGTAGATCATTTGAGCACCGCTGTACTACACACTCTGTGCATTGCGTATGATGGCTAATTCAAATGCCTGGGCTCACTTGTGTGTATGTTTGTCATTTGAGACACAGGTATGGCATGGACCATGTCTACGCAAATAGACCTGATGACTTTATTGACTAATCATCAGAATATCAGGAGCAGCTAACCAGGCCCTGTACAAAGGAATGTGTAGCCCTGTGTAATCTGCAGCGCTCGTTATACAAGGTGTAAATCGTTTTGGGATCAGCTTGTGGACAGTGTGGGTGGGAATAGGTAGCGTGGGATCCAGACCGGTTCTCTCTGTATTTTCTGAAGATCTGTCTGGACATCACCACCTTCTCCTCCTCCGTGTCTCAGGTTAAACTCAGACGGAGCCGCCCAGTCGCATTTATTTATTTCAATGTCAACTACAGTTTATATGCTTGTGATTTCTTAATGAGACTTACTTTTCCAGCGTATGTTTTTTGTAGATTTGCTCCATACATTTGCTGTACTGTATATTGTTGTGTGTGCAGTGTTGGGGAGTAACAGATTACATGTACCAGAGTTACGTAATCAGAGTACAAATTAAGAGTAACTGTATTCAGTTACAGTTACTGTTTCAGTGAGTGGTAATTGGATTACAGTTACTTTGTTGAAATAAATGGATTACAGGACAGTATTTTCCTGTTTTCACATTTTGGGCATTTTTTTTCTAAACCAGGACTAAAACCAGGACAAAAAACAGGTCTAAACTAGAGCTAAATCAGGTCTAAAGTAGGTCTAAATCAGGTCTAAACTAGATCTAAACCAGGTCTAAAATCAGGTCTAAACTAGATCTAAATCAGGTCTAAACTAGATCTAAAGCAGGTCTAAACTAGATCTAAATCAGGTCTAAACTAGATCTAAAGCAGGTCTAAACCAGGTCTAAACCAGGACTAAAATCAGGTCTAAACTAGATCTAAATCAGGTCTAAACTAGGTCTAAACCAGGTCTAAACCAGGACTAAACCAGGACAAAAAACAGGTCTAAACTAGATCTAAACTAGAGCTAAACCAGGACTAAAATCAGGTCTAAACTAGATCTAAATCAGGTCTAAACCAGGTCTAAACCAGGTCTAAACCAGGACTAAAATCAGGTCTAAACTATCTAAACCAGGTCTAAACCAGTACTAAACCAGGACTAAAACCAGGTCTAAATCAGGACTAAACCATCCTAGTCTTTGCTTCTCTACAGCAAACCAAGTAATCCAAAGTATTCAGATTACATTACTCACTTTAAGTAATTTAATGGATTACGTTACAAACTACATTTTGGTGTGTGTAATCTGTAATCTGTAGGGGATTACATTTTAAAAGTGACCTTCCCAACACTGTGTGTGTGTGTTTTGTAGCTGGCCGGTGCCGCAGCTGGAGCCCTGTCAGATCCGGCTGCTCGTGTATCAGGACTGTGAGCGCAGAGGCAGAAATGTGCTGTTCGACTCCAACGCAAAGAAGAGAGGAGCAGAGGAGACCAACATCAATGTAAGAGGACTTTTTTTATTTTTTTTTTTATGAGCGCCATTGCACTTCTACTTCTCTCTGAGTCTGTCTTATCTACTCTGTAACCTGAATGTTTCCCGCATGTATTTCACCGAAGTACAAATGAGCAGCTCTTGAGGTCCAAAGAAATCTGCTGTGTACTGTCAGTATTAGGGATGTAACAATAACCGAAATATTGTGATATTGTCAGTGTTGGGAAGTTACTTTTAAAATGTAATCCCCTACAGATTACAGATTACATACCCCGAAGTGTAGTTTGTAACGTAATCCATTAAATTACTTAAAGTGAGTAATGTAATCTGAATACTTTGGATTACTTGATTTGCTGCAGAGAAACAAAGACGAGGAAATCGTAACATAAGATGTTTTGTCTGATAAAAGAAAATAAAAAGCCCAGATTTTACTGAACCAAATTAAAAAATATTATTGATAGAAGAAGAGGAGATACGTCCACACAGCAGGATTTAGTCCAGTTAAATCCTGTTTTAGACCTGGGTTAGACCTGGTTTTAGTCCTGGTTTAGTCCTGGTTTTAGTCCTGGTTTAGTCCTGGTTTTAGTCCTGGTTTACACCTGGTTTTAGTCCTGGTTTTAGTCCTGGTTTACACCTGGTTTTAGTCCTGGTTTTAGTCCTGGTTTAGTCCTGGTTTAGACCTGGTTTTAGTCCTGGTTTTAGTCCTGGTTTAGACCTGGTTTAGATAGTTTAGACCTGATTTTAGTCCTGGTTTAGTCCTGGTTTTAGTCCTGGTTTAGTCCTGGTTTACACCTGGTTTTAGTCTTGGTTTTAGTCCTGGTTTTAGTCCTGGTTTAGACCTGGTTTAGACCTGGTTTTAGTCCTGGTTTAGACCTGGTTTAGACCTGGTTTAGACCTGGTTTAGACCTGGTTTAGATAGTTTAGACCTGATTTTAGTCCTGGTTTTAGTCCTGGTTTAGTCCTGGTTTTAGTCCTGGTTTAGTCCTGGTTTTAGTCCTGGTTTAGTCCTGGTTTAGACCTGGTTTAGACCTGGTTTAGACCTGGTTTTAGTCCTGGTTTTAGTCCTGGTTTAGTCCTGGTTTAGTCCTGGTTTAGACCTGGTTTTAGTCCTGGTTTAGACCTGGTTTAGACCTGGTTTAGACCTGGTTTAGATAGTTTAGACCTGGTTTTAGACCTGGTTTTAGACCTGGTTTTAGACCTGGTTTTAGACCTGGTTTTAGACCTGGTTTTAGACCTGGTTTTAGACCTGGTTTAGACCTGGTTTAGACCTGGTTTTAGACCTGGTTTAGTGTCTGGCAATGAGTGGAATTATGGAAAAAAAAGGAGAAAAAAAAGAAAAGGGGGATTTAGCCCAAAATGTAAAAACAGGAAAATACCACCATGTAATCCATTTATTTCAACAAAGTAACTGTAATCCAATTACCACTCACTGAAACAGTAACTGTAACCGAATACAGTTACTCATAATTTGTAAACGTTGAAAATGTCCTAGTTCTGTTTTATAAGACCGTAAAAATCACATTTGGTGCCTTTTCATGCTACTGTTTACGACCCGCAGTCTGAAGTCTGAGCCGCATCTTGATATTATAAATCTAATCTGAGTTGCAAAATCGCTTTTGTACGTTTTTTCCATTGTGGCGTTGGCTTAGCTCTGCGTTTGTGAGCACGTCTCTCCAGAGCTCACATGATGCTGTCAGCTGATGCTCTAATCTCCGGGCTTCTTGTTCAGTGCCGCGCTGGACCGGTTTGTCCTGTGTTTGAAACTATGAGCTCAGCTGACTCTGCCTCATGAGGATGGCTCACACATATCTGTCAACTCCTCCGATTCTTCTACTGTTTACGCAATCGGGTTTACTCGAGTTTATATCTGCTTTAGTCTCCTTTTAGACCTGCTTTAGTCTTGGTTTAGTCTCCTTTTAGACCTGCTTTAGTCTTGGTTTAGTCTCCTTTTAGACCTGCTTTAGTCTTGGTTTAGTCTCCTTTTAGACCTGCTTTAGTCTTGGTTTAGTCTCCTTTTAGACCTGCTTTAGTCTTGGTTTAGTCTCCTTTTAGACCTGCTTTAGTCTTGGTTTAGTCTCCTTTTAGACCTGCTTTAGTCTTGGTTTAGTCTCCTTTTAGACCTGCTTTAGTCTTTTTAGTCTTGGTTTAGTCTCCTTTTAGACCTGCTTTAGTCTTGGTTTAGTCTCCTTTTAGACCAGCTTTAGTCTTGGTTTAGTCTCCTTTTAGACCTGCTTTAGTCTTGGTTTAGTCTCCTTTTAGACCTGCTTTAGTCTTGGTTTAGTCTCCTTTTAGACCTGCTTTAGTCTTGGTTTAGTCTCCTTTTAGACCTGCTTTTAGTCTTGGTTTAGTCTCCTTTTAGACCTGCTTTAGTCTTGGTTTAGTCTCCTTTTAGACCTGTTTTAGTCTTGGTTTAGTCTCCTTTTAGACCTGCTTTAGTCTTGGTTTAGTCTAGTTTTAGACCTGCTTTAGTCTTTGTTTTAGACCTGCTTTAGTCTTGGTTTAGTCTCCTTTTAGACCTGCTTTAGTCTTGGTTTAGTCTCCTTTTAGACCTGTTTTAGTCTTGGTTTAGTCTAGCTTTTTAGACCTGCTTTAGTCTTGGTTTAGTCTTTTTAGACCTGCTTTAGTCTCTGTTTAGACTTGGCTTACTCCTTGTTTTAGACCTAGTTTAGTTCTTATTTTAGATCTGATTTAGTTCTTATTTTAGGCTTTTTTAAATCTTGTTTTAGACCTGTTTTAGTCTTGGTTTAGTCTTGTTTTACAAATGGTTTAGTCTCTAGTTTTAGACCTGGTTTAGTTCTTATTTTACCTAGTTTAGTCTTACTTTAGACCTGGTTTAGTTCTTATTAGTCCAAGTTTAGTCTTTTAGACTTGGTTTTTTCACTTAGACCTAGTTTAGTCTTGCTTTAGACCTGGTTTAGTTCTTATTTTAGACCTGGTTTGGTCTTGGTTTAGTTTCAGATTCCTGGTTATGTACATTTTGACTGGATAGTCCATGGTTTTTGAGCATAGTGTTAAGTTGTTGCACGTAACTGGTGGAGTTCTAGTTTAGCCCCAGTGTTTGACCTGGTAAATCTCGTACTGGACCTTTTTAGTTTTAGTTTTATAGTGAGTAGTTAGTATAGTTTTACACTGTTGTCCTTGTTTATTTCTGGTTTAGACCTGGTTTACATTTAGACTTTTAATTCTCTAATCTCGTTTTCTCTCCCTGTACCATGTAGACTTCAAATGTGTGTCAGGCTAAGGACACAAAATGAAGTGCACATTTGTGGTCACAACTATTCAGACCGTTGAGTGTAAAAGGTTGAGTCAGGACGCGGCCGCGAATCACGAGTCCCATGAGAAATGAGGAAGGAATTTCATTTTGATGAGCAGCCGCGATCTGAGCACATGTTCTTTGCTATTATTTATGCAGAATGAAATCCCATTGTTAAAGAGGTGTTACTGCAGGGCAAGCGCCACACCTTTACTTACTGTGTGTTTATATTTAGTCAACGTTTATTTTTAATACTTTATTTAATGCATGACCTCCATTTCTGTTTAACTGTGCAAATAACTGAAAGGTTTTCATTCCGCACTCTTCTCTCCAATTTATGTCTCTCTTTTTTAATTTTAATCCTCATGATTATTTATGTTTTGATTTGTTTTTATTATGATTTTAATGTATTTCTTATTCTGTAAAGCACTTTGAATTACTTTGTGTACGAATTGTGCTGTACAAATAAACCTGCCTTAATGTTTTACACTAAGAGTCAAGAGTTTGGACACACCTCCTCGTTAAAGGTTGTATGGAGGATTTTTTTTTTTTTTTTCAAATAGTCAATGAAAGTTCAAAATAGAATTATAGAGAGGCAGCAGCCTTGTAATTATGACAAAAAAAAAAAAAGAATGAAAATCCATCAACTGTGGACGTAGTGGGGGCAAATAAACATTAGCCAATAGATAACAAGGCTCCCTCTTTATCTATTGGCTGTTATGTTGTCAATCAAACTCCCTACGTTTCTGCGTTTCTGACTTGCCAACCCGCTGGGATTGCGTGGTTTATGTTCGCCTCTCACGCACTGATGCCGTTTACTCAACCAGCACAGCGGTTCTTGGCGTCTTTTTCGAACTGTAGCTTCCTCTCAGTTTGCACAAATTTAGTTTTAATGGCAGACAAGAATCCACGACCAGTTCGCCGCAAAAGAAAGTCTGTTTTTGATGTCGCTGAAAGAAGAAGAGACGGGGAAAAGGAGCGAAGCGCAACATTTAAAAAAGGACAAACAGTCGCTGCATTTCTCTTTCCTCGGAAAATCTTCTATACAACCTTTAAGTGTTTGTTGTTTTTTTTTCTTTGATGCTTTCCTACATTTTAGATGCATATGAAAGACATCAAATATAAGACACAAGATATATGGAATAATGTAACAAAGAAAAAAAAAGTTAAATAACTAGAAGAAAATTCCTCCAAGTATCCAACCTTTACTTTGTTGATAGCCTTGCCTTGTCTTCGGAGAAATGAAATAAAAATGAAAAAGTGTCCAAACGTTTGACTCTTGCCTCTGTGTCACTGAGCTGGTGCTTTGGCCCCCATCGCGATTCTCAATGTTTCTGTCGACTTAGTGGGATTTGATTTGGGATAAAGAGAAACCACAAAACAAGCAAAGCCCAAGGTTAAAATTTCAAGCTCTCATGTATCCATAATGTTTTTTTTTTTTAATATAGGACCCTCAAGTCATGTTATAATGTTACTTCATGAAAACCATACCCAGAGTTGTGGTTTGTTTCATTCACACATGTTTGAGTAATCTTTTATTATTAGTCTATTACCGTATTTTCCGGGCTATTTGACGCGCGCTTAAGCCTCTAACCCTATCAAAAAATGATGGTGCGCCCCGCAGTCCAGAGCGCCCTGTACACGAATCCACTCGAGTGTCCCAGCACGACTTCAGTAAACTACAAAACCACAGCACCCGCAGAACACGCAAACACACACGGAGCAGACAGCGACCGCACAGAGAAACACACCCACAGACACACTCATCACTCCACGCTAGGGATGGGCATGATTAGTCGATTAATCGATAATTGATCATTAAGAATTTCATCGATTATGTTAATTTTAATTGACAAACCGAATGTAGGTTGCTGTGTATCGTGACCAAACAGGTGTGTACATGTGTCTCTGCATCAGAAGGAGCGAGACACAAACAGTGGGTCAGTCTGTAACGAACCGAAGCACAAATGTGGATTTAACGATGATTTGTACAAGAAATTCCACACTTTCCGTTGCGTTGGGACAAGTGTGAGTCCATGTGCACAGTGTATAAAGCAGCACATATGTTTCTGTGTCCAGTGGGAAAAAGTTTTTCCAGGTGAGAGTCGCTCAATGTGGATGACGAGGCCCCGCCCCCCTCCCCCCGTACGCTGTCCTGGTTTTGACAAACACAAATCTGGTCACACTGACCTGTATTCACCTGAGTCATGTCTTTTAATCCAACACAAGTTGAACCACATCAGCGACACAAGAGCTGGAGTTTTATCTTCACTTAGTTTATGTAAATTAGTGATGCAGTTTTAAGTTTTGTTTCTGTGAGATTTGAACAAAACTGAATTAAACACATTATAATGTCAAACAGCTGATGTGGATCTAGAGTCGTTATGTTTATATGTCGTAAAGTTGAATTTATTTATGCAGATTAGTGCAGATAGTAATAATAATGATGATCATTTTAATATAAAAACGTTAAAGATTAATCGATAATCGATCGTTAATTCTTCCGACGAACGATTAAGAAAATTTCATCGAATGCCCGTCCCTACTCCACGCCGACGAGGAACGTAACGGAGGAACGAACCTGAAAAAGCGAAGCGCAATGTGCCGCTTCTAGACACAACTGAACAACTGAGTCACTGCGAACACGCCGACAATCCGTTGGTCCCAGACACACCCTCCCTACATGAAAGTTTTAAAATGTAAAAAATGACCGATAACGATGGACAAAACTGAAATTCCGTTTACCAAGATTTGAATTTCTGTCGAGATGAATGGAGAACTGTGCTTAAAGAGGGGTATATTTTTGGAGCTTTCTCCCATGTTTTAATGTTTCATCATCTAAAAAAAACATGTCTGAAGAGGTTTTAGAGACATCTACGCATGTTTGAGTAATCTAGCGATCTCTCTGTACAAGATTTCTCAATAAACAGGACAATAAACACGAAAATTCTTCATGAATAATACAAAAACGTGACAGAAAACTGCAGTAGTTTCGTTAGAGGGAAGCAAGGTGATTGTGTTGTGACCGCGCTCTGAAGGGGGAGCGACTTAGCAGCAAAACCAAAACTTATAAAACATATTAATCTGTTGTTGCGGGTGATTATAGCGTTTACAAAACAATAAAAAGAGCTAAAAATGTGAGGAACGGAACGGAGAAACGAACCAAAAAAGCGAGCGCGACGAGCCGCTTCTAGACACGACTGAACAACTGAGTCACTGCGAACACGCCGACAATCCAGCGACAGACACTACTCCCTACACGCCACAACTGAACAAAGCCCAGAGTCACCGTGAACGAACAAACAAACAAAACCACTCACCCATCACACTGTTGGGTTTCCTTTAAAGTCCCACGTGGTTTATTTGTGAAAAAAGTTCGAAAATAGACCATTTAATGACCATTTAATCCAGCGCGCCAAATATCCCGGAAAATATGTAGTTTATCTCCAATGCTCAACATGATCTGTTCAAGTTAAGAGCTCCTTTTACCTTTTTGTTTAGTCGATTGACAGTTCCAGGGCTGAAATCCTGCAAATGGTTCTAGTGAAGGTGCATGGAGTTTAAAAAAAACATTTGTATTTGAGAGAAAAAAAAACATACGTGAATGAAACAAAACTCAACTCCAGGTCGTTTTGTGACAACATTAAAACAAAGATCAGAAAATAGCTTTTATATGGACCCTTTTAAAGCACACTTTTAAACAGAACAGGGAAGTTTATTGCTTTGTTTGTGTGTTAGAGTTGTACTTAACAGTCAATATTGTGTCACAAGCAGAATTGGTTAAAGATGTTTTCCCCGTAGAGATGTTATTTATTTTCCTGGAATGTTTCACAGTATGACATCCTGCTTTTATCCACTTACATATGTTTTTGTGGATAAAAATGAAAATGACTTGTAACTTGGCCTGGTGCCTCATCTACTGGATAAATGTAATGCCATACTGTAGACAGTGTTGGGAAGGTGACTTTTAAAATGTAATCCCCTACAGATTACAGATTACATACCCCAAAATGTAGTTTGTAACGTAATCCATTAAATTACTTAAAGTGAGTAACGTAATCTGAATACTTTGGATTACTTGGTTTGCTGTAGAGAAACAAAGACGAGGAAATCTTCACATCAGATGTTTTTTCTGCTAAAAGAAAATAAAAAGCCCAGACTTTACTGAACCAAATTAAAAATATTATTGATAAAAGACGAGGAGACACGTCCACACGGTGTTTTTTGTCCTTTTAAATCCTGGTTTAGATCTAGTTTAGACCTGGTTTTAGTCCTGGTTTAGGTCTAGTTTAGACCTGGTTTTAGTCCTGGTTTAGGTCTAGTTTAGACCTGGTTTTAGTCCTGGTTTAGGTCTAGTTTAGACCTGGTTTTAGTCCTGGTTTAGGTCTAGTTTAGACCTGGTTTTAGTCCTGGTTTAGGTCTAGTTTAGACCTGGTTTTAGTCCTGGTTCAATCCTGAATTATTCCTGGTTTAGACTTGGTTAAAAAAATAAAATAAAATAAAGGGATTTAGCCCAAAATATGAAAACGGGAAAATACCGCCCTGTAATCTCATTTATTTCAACAAAGTAACTGTAATCCAATTACCAGTAACTGAAACAGTAACTGTAACTGAATACAGTTACTCATAATTTGTACTCTGATTACATAACTCCAGTACATGTAATCTGTTACTCCCCAACACTGTCTGTGGAACATTCAAGGCAAAGGAAAAGCATCTTCATGGAACAGGGAAGTAGAACCTTTACCAGAAAGTTATTTATAACTGTATTATCAAGTATTTTGTTATTAAAAGAGTTCTATTATTGTAAAAGGCCAGTAAATCCCGGCACACAGTGAATATGAGAGAGTTTCACACAGTCACATGACACACAGTCACATGCCGCTGTCCGTCCACTGCAGCTTTCTCCGTCAGTGTCTCTGTGCAGAAAACTGTACTAACCTCTTATTCTGTGTAAAAGCTGTTAACTCTGTACTTTAGACCTCTGCAAACACGCTCTGAAACGCATGAGATTCTTGTATTAGTTTAACAGCTCAGATCTTCTCTCATGTCAATGCTACTGAATATGATTAAAACCTGCTCTATAAACTCAAATTCATCTCTTTATAAATGTGTAGAAAGTGAAACCCCGTCATTAGTGGTAGATCCTTAGATCCTCGACACTTGTGCAGACGTGTGTTTTAACTCGTGCTTGTTGAAAGTCTGTTCAGGATGAAGGCAGCATGTGACTTGTGTTTACACTGGTGCCACAGTGTTGAGTTTCACTGGTTTGTGCCCTCAGTTAATCCACCTTTACCCCACGATCTGGAGCTGCTTAGACATGTTTACATTCTTACATTATGCAAATGAAACTTTGCACATTTTTTGTGTGGCTTTTTGATACTAATGAAAATCTGTATCTGTACCTTAACAATTATTACTTTTTTTTTTTTTTTTTTTTTTTTTTTTTTTTTTTTTTTACATTTTAACACAAAATTGTGTTTAATATTATCATGGGGTCTTGTATCTTGTACTAGTTCAGATGGAAATAAAGACAAATAAAGTATTTGTTTACATTTTTTTTCAGTATTGATTGAATTGAGTTTGTAGTTTGTAGTTGTAGTTTTACTGGTGTTATTGTCAGTTAGTGTCTGACGTGCAGTGACTTGGCTCCACAAAACACTAGTCACAGGCTACTTCCTCTGCAGGTTCACTTTTGAGAGTACACAAAGAAGTGAGACTGAAGTTATACATTTCTGGATAATTGTTAATAATAATCATTTGAAATCAAGATGTCTGTGTGTTTCTCAGAGTGCAGAGGGCCAGGGGAAGATGTTTGGGAAATGCTGCCAACTGCGCTCCACAGGGGGCAGCAGCAGCTCCCTGGACAGCTCCTCGTCCTCCACTGAGACGCGGGAGACGAAAGAACAAGGAGGCCTGCGCTTCCAGGTAACAGAGGTGACGTCATCATTAATATATTGTATTATATTGAAAAAAGCAATTTTCACAAATCTAAAACAGTGGACCAGTCATTTCTGGTTCCACTCATTTATGATTAGTTACTCATTTCAGTTATGACTAATGTTGTAATTTTTGTTGCTTCCAGGGCTCGCGGTGTTCGTCAGATGTGGTGATGTTGGGGGAGATGATGTTTGGGTCCGTCGCCATGAGTTACAAAGGATCAACACTAAAAATCCACCAGATCAGGTACGAGTAGAGGAAGTGTTGAGAGTGTTACCCATCTAGTGCAGCTTCTGGAGGTTCTGATCTTTCACATGAACATAAACAGAGAATGAGACGCACTTAAATGTGTCTCTGTCTGCAGGTTCAGATTTAACTTTAATATCTTTATTTTTTTAAACCAGTAACATTGCTGGGTGCCTGCAGTTTACTTTTCTGATCAAATTCACATGATTTTACTGCTGCAAAAAGTGTACCATAATATTGCAGTTATATCTCTTATGTCTTTTTAACTACACTATTAAAGTTAGTTGTTAAATGTGTGTGTTGTGCTCGTATCGTCCTGCCCTGGTCTCTGGCCTCACCTCTCCTCTGCTCTCTGCTCTTCTCAGGTCTCCTCCTCAGCTGATGCTCAGTAAAGTGTTCACGGCTCGTACTGGGGGCAGTGTGTACGGGAGCCTCAACACGTAAGCACTCCTCCACTGTCAGCACACTCACTGTCACACGGGACGAGCTCTCAACAGAATTGCCCAATGTCTGTCTATAAAGTCACTGTACCTGACTTTTACTGTCTTATAAACATGCAACAGCACAGCGCGTTCATTTGAAACAGTTTGCAGTTTGGAGCAAGGCACATTTTGCTTAAATCGTTACCTTTAATGTGCTACTATTGATTGAGATGACGAGAGTTCATATATGTTTTGTATCTTGCAGGTTGCAGGACAGCCTCGAGTTCATTGGGCAGGACAACAACACACTCCGGCCAGACGCTCACACAGGCCCCAACAGTCTGCTCGGTACTTTAACTTTAACTTTTCTGTGTGTATTCTGTGTCCAGACAGAACTGGGTCGTTTCACAGACCGATCAACCACGTGCAACAGTACAGTCCCTGACAAAAGTCTTGTCGCTTATCCATTTTGTAGAAGCAAAAGCTTATAACCTGACTTTAAATGAATCGATTGGTTTTAGAAATGTCTCATATGAAGCTAAAACCCTCCCAAATTATGCTCAATATACTAAAATACATTTGCTTCACTGAAGAAAGATTGATCATTTAATGAACACAGAAAGGTCAGATTTTGGCAAGACAAAAGTCTTGTCGCCTTGTCATGTGATGTCTTGTCGTGGATGTGTCCTTCAAGCTCATGGACGTCATACAAGATATTAAATCTGGATCTCACAGCACCACGACTTCATTCACTGACGTTATGCAACATATTTTTGTATTTTAAGTAAATTATTTGTTAAATTTTCTGTAGGCGACAAAACTTTTGTCTTGCCAAAATCTGACCTTTCTGTGTTCATTAAATGATCAATCTTTCTTCAGTGAAGCAAATGTATTTTAGTATATTGAGCATAATTTGGGAGGGTTTTAGCTTCATATGAGACATTTCTAAAACCAATCGATTCATTTAAAGTCAGGTTATAAGCTTTTGTTTCTACAAAATGGATAAGCAACAAGACTTTTGTCAGGGACTGTATATAGTGTTAACTTTTTACAGAAAAATATTCAAATTTCTTTTTCCAAACTCTTCCCTCTGCTCCAAACCACATGCCTTTACTGACTGAGGTTTGGCTGTAGACCTAAACAAACCCTGACCATTAGAAACGACTTTAGATCTATAGAAAACATTTGGCACCTCAGCTTTAATGTATTTACATCTTAGACTATCATAATACCTGACAACAATCTCACATTTCCTTGAGACATCTGAGGCTTTGTTAAGGGATTGCAGGTCTTTACATGTTTCTATAGCAGTGTTTCTCAAACTGTGCTACACAAACATCTCTGCGGTTCAAGTTTAGCTGAATTTAGAGCCAATAAATCCATATTGTCGCCTTCCATTGTTTGTCCCTGAAGATTAAATATGTGAAGTGGTGTGAAAAGTTTGAGAACCGCTGTATTGTTTTGTTTTTTGTCAAACTTAAAGCTGTTGTTCCGTATTTATAACAACGGCGTCTCACTGTCCAGTTTAATCACTAACATCCATGTTCTTCTTTGTTTTTTGTCCACTCCTACACTATTCCTCGTTTTCGTCTTCTGATCATCACACTCCTCTTCCTCTGTCTTTGTCTCTATCGCTCTGTCCCTCCTCCTCCTCCTCCTCTTCTCTTTCTCTCTCTGTCTCTGTCTCTCCTTCTTCCTCTGTCTCCTCTCTCTCTTGACTCTTTTCTGTCCATATCTGTGGCTCATTTGCGCAGGTTTCTCTCAACTCTGCAGTCCTCGTCGGGCCTTCTCTGAACAGGGCCCCCTGCGCCTCATCAAAAGCGCCTCTTTCTTTTCAGGTTGGCCGCTAAAAAAACAGAAAAAACTGGCCCTGTCTCGCAACGGGCCAGATGCATGCGTGTGTCTGAGCTGTAGTGTTACCATCGTACTCTGTTAAAATGAATTTACATGAATGACAATAACTTGATTTATTTATTTATTTATGTAAAAAGTCTGTTCAGAGAATTAATCTGAAGTGAATTGCTTTTTCATTCAGGTTAATTTGCTTATAGCCTAAAATGTGTTTCAGAAAAGTTAGCCCACACAAATCTAAATTTCAAGGTAAATGTTCTAAGAAATGTTTGTTTTTATTTAACAATTTTCTTACCCCAGTGGTAAAAACTTAAGCTGAAATAAGAAACAAGGGCTGTGTTCAGACTGCAGCCTGAAGTGACTCAAATCCGATTTTTTGGCTTCTATGTGACCTGTATCTGATCTTTTAATGACCGATCTGATTTTTTCAAATGCGACCCAGGCCACATATCCAAGTGGCCTGGGTCGCATTTGAAAAAATTGGATCTGTGCTGGAACCGATACATATCTGATCTTTTGACATGTGACTTCAGTGTGAACGGCCAAAGCGCATTCATCCACCTACACGTTATCAACAAGACACAAACGTCACTATTCTGCGCTGAAGTAGGTGAAAATTGTTAATAAACTCCGTGTCACTGAAGTGAAGCACATCTCCACTCACCACTCTTGGCTCCGTCTCCACATCCACACGTTCCTTTCAACAGACGCTGTTCCACAAAACACCACGACCAAAAACCTCGTCCTTCTCCTTCTCAATCTCCTCCTTAAAACAAGTCAGTTGTTCATGTTCTGGCTCCGGTACGAGAGGAACTTTAAAATCTCCAGGTGCTCGATGCTGCGTCCATGTTTGGACAACTTCTGTAAACACAGAGACGCTCGCTGCGGTTGACGTCGTCGTGTCTCCAGTGTCACATGTGGGACACTTTCAGCCGTTTACTGTTCACACTGGAGTCACATACAAGTCACATTTAATTGGAAATGTGAACGACCTCACAAAAACATCGGATTTCACAAAAAAATCAGAATTGAGCGTTAAACCCTGCAGTCTGAACGCAGCCAAAATGTTAAAGCTATTAGTCCAAACGTAAAGACATTTAAAGTGACAGTGTGTGACTTTCTGAGCTGAAAAGTCAACTGCATGATTCTATGGAAATAGAAAGATACGTTTATGTCATACTGTGGAATATTATAACCAAAGGAACATTTCCATAGAAACAAGCAGGAGGCCAAATAAGATCCAGGTTTGTGGAGATGCAAGCCTGCTCTTAATAAGAACACAAAAAGTTACATACTGGGGCTTTAAATCAATAGAACACATTTTAAATAAGCAATAATATTTTGTATTAAAATAATTTTACTTGGATTAATTTTGATATGTTAGAACTTGAACTAAGTAAATTTATTTAAGCATATCAAATATATACACTAAGTATATATTATGTGTACATTTTGTAGTCTCCTCAAGTTCAATATTGGAATTTCAAGTGATTGTAACTCATGTGGTTTGTTTTGGCAGAGTTGTCATCATTTGCAGTAGTTGAAGTGTTGTGCACTGCATGGCTGTGGTGAAGCTTGCACTTTGGGGAGAGTAATTACTGAAACTCCTGGGTCGAACATGGACTGGACAAACTAGTTTATTAATGCTCGGAATACTTTTTACCGTCTTCAAAATGTGAAACACAGAACTAGTTTATTGTAAACAGTAAACTCACTTACCTTTATGTATTCTGTTTATGAGCACATATATTCACATTTCCTAATTCTCTGAGAAGAAAATGCTTTCCAATGATCTAGACAGAACACCACAGACTTAGTTTGATTCAGCCATTTCTATTTGTTCACATTCATCAGGTAGAGTCACATTAGTGTGTCATAACTCTCCATATCTGACCCAGGACACTCTGGTTGCATGCAGTAGTATTTGAAGTAGTATTGTGAGTAGCAGCAGCAGTAGAAGTATTGTGTGGGTGCTTCACTAGTTCATAGTTCACATAAATCCACTCTCTCTCCTCTTCACTTGAGCACTTTTAATATGTTTCCTTCTTTTTTCTTGGATGTCTTTTGTGTTCTGTGTGTGGTTCCCATGTGACTCTCTGATTTCCATTTGGGCTTCAGTAGAAATGTTCATGCATTAAAGTATTTTGTTTATTCATTGTGGGCCAGAAGTGTTGTGTATCATGTGTGGTATTGACAGTGTTGGGAAGGTGACTTTTAAAATGTAATCCCCTACAGATTACAGATTACACACCCCAGAATGTAGTTTGTAACGTAATACATTAAATTACTTAAGGTGAGTAATGTAATCTGAATACTTTGGATTACTTGATTTGCTGTAGAGAAGCAAAGATGAGGAAATCTTCACATGAAATGTTTTGTCTGATAAAAGAAAATAAAAAGCCCAGACTTTACTGAACTACATTAAAAATATTTTGATAGAAGAGGAGGAGACATGGCACGGTTTAGTCCTGTTAAATCCTGGTTTAGTCCTGGTTAAGTCCTGCTTTAGTCCTGATTTAGACCTGGTTTAGTTCTGATTTAGACCTGGTTTAGTCCTGATTTAGACCTGGTTTAGACCTGGTTTAGTCCTGTTAAATCCTGGTTTAGTCCTGCTTTAGACCTGTTTTAGACCTGGTTTAGTCCTGGTTTAGCCCAAAATGTGAAAACAGGAAAATACTGCTGTGTCCATTTATTTTAACAAAGTAACTAATCCAATTACCACTCACTGAAACAGTAACTGTAACTTTTTTTGTACTCTGATTACATAACTCCGGTACATGTAATCTGTTACTCCCCAACACTGGGTATTGCATAACAATTTGGTGTTCTATACTTGTATCTGCACTTTCAAAATCTTGACAACAACAAAGCAGACAAACTGAGCTCTAGAGTTATCATGTTAACCTGTCCCTACTGGGTTATTAAAGCTGAAGCTTCAGACAGAGCAGTGCCCACAGTTAGCTTCATGCTGGGTTTACACTAACTGCACGCTGGGTTCAGCAAAGATTTTGAGCAGGTTAAACAGATTTCCTGTTACATCGACTACAACAACTGCAGTGTGTTCTTGATCAAGCACACGGACATGTAAACAGATGAACCTCCTGAAAAACGAGATGATTCATCTTAATTCTTTCTCCTCGTGTCAGTGTGTATCTTTATGGCAGGATCATTCATCTTGTTTCAAATGTAATTGGTCAGATTTAACATTTATGGCTTTTGCTTTTGGGTTTTTATGAAAATACCATCATGGATACAGTAATATTGACTCTTAAAGGTTGTATGGAGGATTTTTTATTTTTTTTGTTTCAAATTGTCAGTGAAAGTTTAAAATACCATTACAGAGACGCAGCAGCCTTGTAATTATGATGACCAAAATAAAAAGAATGAAAATCCATCAACTGTGGACGTAGTGAGGCCAGATAAACATCAGCCAATAGAAAACAAGGCTCCCTCATTTTCTATTGGCTGTTAGGTTGTCAATCAAACTCCCTAGTGTAACTGACTCGTCGGTGCGCGGAGATTGCGCAGCGGTTTTTAGAGGCTTTTTCAAACCGTGGCTTCCTCGCAGTTCGCACAAAGTTTGTTGCGATGGCGGACGAGAATCCACGACCAGTTCGCCGCAAAAGAAAGTCCGTTTTTGAGGTCGCTGAAAGAAGAAGAGAAGGGGAAAAGGAGCAAAGACAAACTGAGGTGATTCTTGGAGATCCCTTCCAGCGATTGCACGAATGAAGCAGATGAAAGGTCTAAAAGCTGACGTGTCGGTCGCTGAATTACATCTAGACGGGTCACTTCAATGGTAATTCCGAACGTGCACTGGCTGTAAACAAGCGTGATTTCTAGAGTAACGAGGCGGGAGGAGGTGTTTCTACTGAGGGAAAAAGGAAAAAAGTCGCTGTCATTTCACTTCTCTTAAAAAATCCTCTATACAACCTTGAATTGAAAGTTTGAGTTTTGGTGCATTATTCTTTTTGACAGTATTTCACTATACCTTTTAGGAACACATGGTTTTACATCAGTAGTTATTAAATATTCTTCTTGTTGGTTGTGTCTCTCTCTTCCTGTGTTGGTCCAGGCCACAGTCACCCCATGGACATGCCCGGGAGAGGACTGCACGACGAGAGGGACAGCGGCATCGCACGCTCCGGTACGTCAAACGAGGCTCTATGACAAATACATCCGCTTCTAGTTTGTATTAACTTGTGGTTGGTGACGCAAATATCCTGATAATAATAATCAGATCATATTTTTGCATTTCATCTGAAAAGTGCTTGTACACAGGAGGTGAATGGACCGTAAAATGAAACACAAAAGAACCTAAATATCACCTTACAGCCTTGTTTGAAAGATTACACTGCAAGACAACACACTCGCCAAGCCAAGCCGTCATTGTTAGAACTTGAACGGGGATCTCCATCTAATAATAAGATTAGTATAATGTGTAATTCTTAGAAAGATTAAGACCAGATAAAGCTGTCAGGGAAAGGTCATTTGTCCTATGATTGTTATATAAAAAGTATCAGTACTTGAAATGAGAGATCGATACTAGTTTTAGAATCTGTTGTTTTGTTTTTTTAAGACAAACGTACATTGGACCAGTTACATTTTCAATAGCAGTACTTTATGCAGCGTTTACCAAGACATTTGATACTTCCCGATCCTTTTCCCCTTCCCTGTGTACCTCCTGGTTGTATCTTGTTTATTTTTTGACCCTCTTTAACCTTTAACCTTTGTCTTCCACAAACTCTTAAAACAGCTGAGCTAAAGCTGTCTGCTCAGGTATGCTGCAGGTTCCATTCATTTCACTTTACAACAGTGTCAGTATTATGTCAAGTATTATGTCACATCTAATAAGAAAGGGCTACAAATGACCATTATAATATACTTGTAGTACAGCAGTTACTTTTCTTGATGAGTTAACTAATCCAACATTTTTCCCATTGAGTCTTTGAGAATTTTAACCAGTTTAAAGCTAGAAAATTTACCAAATGTCCCAATATTGACTAAGTAAGATTGTGTTTAGTTAAAAAGCAGACAATGCTGGCTTTATGATAAAAAGATTTACCAACTAATGGCACATTTTACTCCAGATATTTCTGAATTGGAAACACTCTAAAACTTGCTATGTGCTAGAACACAGGTGGAAAACATAAGGCACGGGGGCCGGATCCGGCCCTCCAAGACCTTTAATGTGGCCCTCTGCTGATTTTCTACTAAAATATTTTAATTATATTTTCTTTTAAAATCTTGTTAATTTTCTGTGGTGTTTATCACAGCAGCGTCTCCAGCGTCTCTGTACGTGGCCCCTCCCACCAGAGCAGCACAAATGAAGACTTGTCTCTTTCCAAACGCTCTTAAAGGACGATCGTTTTGACTGTTGACCGTGACACCCTCATCAGAAAAATGTCCAACATGAGAAAAGTGGAGTTAGTGTTAAAACATTGTGTTGAAATTACATTTTTTTTAAAGTTTCAGGTTGTTCATAATATTATAATAATTTGTAAAAGAAAGAGTTCATCAATTAAAAAAAGATTTCTGTAATAGATTTGTGTTTCTCTGCACAAATATTTGAACTTATTGTTATTTTTGGGGGTTTATATGACATGAGTTTTCTGATCCGGACACTTTGAGATCAAAGTAGGTTGGATACGACCCCCGGACCAAAATGAGTTTGACACCCCTGCGCTAGATATTAAAAAAGTCTCTAGTACTTGGAGTTGAATTGTTAATGCAGTGTTAATGTCAAAATGTATGTATTGGGAACTGAAACCAGAATGCCAAATTACAACCGAAACAACTTGGCTGTCGTATCCAATGTTTGAACAGTTGTAATGCTGATTTATTCTTATCAGTGACAAGTGATATTTGATTTGAACATGTTTACCTCGGATCTTGTGACACACGCCTTGTTTATGGAATTTAAAATCACAATCTTACAGTTTTATGTTTGGCCAATATCAGAGCAGTCGCCTCATAGAGCTCCAAAAAAACCAACAACTTTTGACCGGGAATTGGACCAAGGACCATCCACCCTCTGTCTGTCGTTCTGTCTGTGTGTGTGTGTGTCTCTCTCTCCCCCTCTCCCCCCTTTGGTCACATCATCGTCACATTTGGAGGCACGGGGGGCATGTTGAGAATTGTACTTTGTGCTCAAACCTGGGTCACATGCGCGTGAGTAAATATAGCAGCTCCCCAAAGCTCCAGCGCTAAATGAGCTGCTAATTCAGGACCCGCTTTCCCTCCTCCCTCTCCTCCGCCGCCTCCTCCGCCTCCTCCTCTGGCCAGGAATTTCAGGGATGGTCCAATATGGATTTTGATACAGATACCTAATATGTGTCTTCCAGTTGTGACGGATAATCAGTATTTGCTGATAGCAGTATTAAGCTTCTAAAGTTTATAGTACAGACCAGGTTTATGCCGAGTTAAGTTAGAATGAAGTTTGCAAATTATCACACAAACTATAATGACACATGGACACACACTGGACCAAATTTTCAATATTGGACTGATGCCGGGAAATCCTCCGATGTTGCAGATAACCGATATACCATTTCTAATTTCCAGCACTCTTCTGCATGTACTGAAAAAAAAAAAAAAGAGAGATGGTATTGATATTGTTTTAGAGCAGGGGTGTCAAACTTTGATCCCAAAGGGGCCGGATCAGAAAACTCATGACATATAAACCCCAAAAATAGCAATAAGTTTAAATATTTGTGCAGAGAAACGCAAATCTATTACAGAAATCTTTTTTAATTGATGAACTCTTTCTTTTACAAAATATTATAATATTATGAACAACCTGAAACTTTAAGAAAAATGCAATTTCAACAATATATTTTAACATTAATTTGAATGCATTTCATAGAATTTAGTCATGCTTTCTTTTTGCTCCTGAAACTTGGCATCTTCGAGCCTGCACAAGAGCATCAATATCAGGCACCGTGTCCTGAGGAGCTGCTGTCTTCAGAATCTCATTCAAGTTCATGTAGTATTCAAGTAATGTTCATTACTGAGAAAACCTGCTCACAAAGGTAGTAACTGTAAATCTATTATTTCTAGTTGCACGTCAGAGGTTTTGACTGTGAACGGTGTGCGAAAAATTGCAAATTCTGTCTTCAAATTTTCAAATATAATTCAAATATTTTAGTAGAAAATCAGCCGAGGGCCAGATTAAAGGTTTTGGAGGGCCGGATCTGGTCCCCGGGCCGTATGTTTGACACCCTTGTTTTACAGACAGTTCAGGTTTGGCACATGAATCCTTGCACCCACGCGCCCTTTTTATGGTCTTTGGTCAAGACACTTAACCCGCTTTACCCTCAGCCCCTTCGACCACCAACACCAAAGCAAGAAGAACGACGTCAGAACTTGGTCAGAGCGAGAATTGATCCTCCGACCTTCTGATTTATGCACAGAAGCTCTTACCGCTGAGCTCCTGTCAGACACGGACTCTCCCCTGTCATCCAGTTTCAGCTACTCGTGCTGTGATCATGTGACCGGTCAGTGCCCTGGTCATAAATACAGTGTGATGAGTCTGAAGCGCCGTCATTAACGTGCCGCTCTGGTGTAAATCTGCAGCATGTGACCGCAGCAGAGGGAGCGGGCACGGGGCTTGGGCACGGGGAGAGGGCTCTGGGCACAAACACGGGGGCGCTGGCAACAAGCCATTTGTATAAACCTGCTGTTGTATCAAAGGTGCACCACATAACTTTTCTGGTGGGGGATTTGTCGCCTCCATTTCGTTTGAAGATGTTCTCGCTTAGGTTTAATGCCTTTACAGTCAATCTTGCATTTACTGTAGAGCTGCTGCAAATAGGGTTTTTAAAAGTATTAAAAATCAGATACTAATCAATACTAAAACTAGTATCGCAACCAGATTTTAGCAGTTATTGATACTAAAAAAAAAATCACATTCAAAGGACAGAAATGAGCCTTTCCTGAATGTCTTTAGAATGATGTTGAGCTGTATCAGAACAAGTGGAAGAGCACATAGACAAGTATACACTCATGGACCACTGAGGGATTACACAGATATAGGCAAGGCAAGTTTATTTGTACAGCACAATTCGTACACAAAGTAATTCAAAGTGCTTTACAGAATAAGAAATACATTAAAATCATAATAAAAACAAATCAAAACATAAATAATCATGAGGATTAAAATTTAAAAAGACACATAAATTGGAGAGAAGAGTGCGGAATGAAAACCTTTCAGTTATTTGCACAGTTAAACAGAAATGTTTAGAGTCTCACATGTTCAGACTGTTCCAGGTTTTAGCTGCATGAACCTGAAACTCTGACTCCCCTTGTTTAGTCGTGACTCTGGGCACCAGCAGGAGGTCGGTCCCTGAGCTCCTCAGAGTGTGAGATGTTCATATGACACTAACATGTCACAGATGGACTTTGGTGCTCGGACATGGAGACACTTGTACAAACAGAGCTGCTTTAAAGTCTCTGAGCCACAGGAGCCAGAGCAGAGACCTGAGACCAGGACTTATGTGCTCGTACTTCCTAGTTCGAGTCAGGACCCGAGCTGCAGTGTTCTGGATGTTCTGGATGTTCTGCAGCGTCTCACAGGTCGTTTGGAGAGACCAGTGAGCAGAACATTACAGTATCTAACCTACTGGAGACAAACGCATGGATAAGTTTCTCCAAGTCTGATTTAGACAGTAAACCTTTGATTTTTGTGATGTTTTTTTAGATGGTAAAAGGCTGCAGATGTTATTGATTTGATGTGGCTGTTAAAGTTCAAGTCTGAGTCCATTATTACCCCTAGATTTCTTGCCTGATTTGAAGGTTTTAGAGAGAGAGACTGGAGGTGATGCTGACACTGTCCCTTTGTTTCTGTGGACCAAACACTATGACTTCAGTCTTGTCAGAGATATACATACATATATATATAAGGCCACATGTGAATAGAAAAGTTTGAAATGTTAGTATTGTGACTCATGGTACTACTCACCACAGATCTGACCTGTAACTTGACCCGGTGGCATCACTGACTAGTAGGGATGGGCGTGATTAGTCGGCTAATTAATAATTGATCATCAAGAATTTCATGAGTCACGTTCATTTTTAATCAACAAACCAAATGTAGGTCGCTGTGTGTAGTGTAGCGTGAGGAGACGAGGACGCATCTTCAGTGTTTGGGAAGGTGACTTTTAAAATGTAATCCCCTACAGATTACAGATTACATACCCCAAAATGTAGTTTGTAACATAATCCATTAAATTACTTAAAGTGAGTAACGTAATCTGAATACTTTGGATTCCTCGATTTGCTGTAGAGAAGCAAAGACGAGGAAATCTTCACATAAGAAGTTTAATCTGCTAAAAGAAAATAAAAAGCCCAGACTTTACTGAACAAAATTAAAAATATTATTGATAGAAGATGAGGAAACACGGTCCATACAGCATGGTTTAGTCCTGTTAAATCCTGGTTTAGTCCTGGTTTAGTCCTGTTAAATCCTGGTTTAGTCCTGGTTTAGTCCTGTTTTAGTCCTGTCTTAGTCCTGGTTTAGTCCTGGTTTAGTCCTGGTTTAGACCTGGTTTAGATCTTGTTTAGACCTGGTTTAGATCTTGTTTAGACCTGGTTTAGATCTTGTTTATACCTGGTTTAGACCTGGTTTAGTCTTGGTTTAGTCCTGGTTTAGCCCAAAAACAGGAAAAAACCTCTGTGTAATCCATTTATTTCAACAAAGTAACTGTAATCCAATTACCACTCACTGAAACAGTAACTGTAACTGAATACAGTTACTCATAATTTGTACTCTGATTACTTAACTCCGGTACATGTAATCTGTTACTCCCCAACACTGTGCATCTTACAGCACAAACACTGGAGTTGTGGCCTCTCAGTCTCACCTTTGGGCTCTGGCTCATCTCCTTGAAGATCACTGTACCAATCAGTGAGTGCGTTTACATGTGCGTCAGGATCCCGGGTATGATCGGGTTTTTTGAGCGTCCCAGTTTCTTCACACAGAACACACAGGACAGACTCACCATCATCATCATCAACATCCCTCTGCCACAGAAAGAACTCAGAAATTCCACTGAATTGTGTTCTTTAGTCCGACAGAAGCTGAACTGCATCAGCGCACAAGAAAAGAACCGTTTTTTTCAGTGTTTATAGTTTATGCAAATGAGCCATGTGGTTTTACGTTTTATTTCTGTAAGACGTAAACAAAAGTGTCAAAGCTGCATTAAACACATTATAATGTCAAACATGCTGATGTGGCTCTAGACTGGTGATGGTTTATATCTTGTAAAGTTGAGTTTATTTATGCAGATTAGTAATAATAATGATGATCATTTTGATATTAAAAGAATCTATTGAAAATCGATCGTTAATTCTCCCAACGATCAATTAAGAAGATTTAGGCGATTGCCCATCCCCACTGGTTAGTAGAAAATTCTAGGCAAAGCAGTAACATTTCCAAGAGGTGATGAACCCTTCCCCAGAAAACTACATAGTGCATCTTAAAACTAAAGAATAATAAAAGGTTAAACCAACTCAATAAAGAAGTACACTCACTCAGTTGGAAATGTTTGAGATTCTGGATGATGTTGGTTTGAATCTCTTCTGTTGACAGTTTGTACTAGTCCTTGGGCAAAGCACTTCATCCTGTTTGCCGTTACACATCGTAAACATTTTATAGTCCATTTGTAACACACAATTGATACTTAATTATATACTCTTAAATCAGATAGGATATTTAAATTGAACAAATGGGTATTACGAAGCTTTCGAATATAGTTGAAAACAAATTATAAATTTGTGTTTGCAATGTCACCTTGGCCTCATGTCGTCTTTATGTCGATCCTAAAACCTGACCTCCTCATAAATATGCTCAGACTGTTTTTGTCCAGTGTAAATACCACTTTTACTGTCTGACTTATGTGTGCCTCTCTCTCCTCTTTCTCCTCTTTCTCCCATTTCTCCCCCCTGTGCCTTCCCCTCTTTCTGTCCCCATCTCTCCCCCTCCCCTCTCCAGCCTCCCTCTCCAGCCTGTGGATCACTCCGTTCCCCTCCCCCGGCTCCTCCCTGAACAGCAGCTGTGCGTCCAGTTACCAGCGTCGGTGGCTCCGCAGTCAGACCACCAGCCTCGAGAATGGGGTCTTCCCCCGATGGTGAGACTTTCACTTTTAACAGTTTATGGATTTCTCAGTGATAAAAGTTACAACTGCTGTCAGAGCAATCAACTCTTCAAAACAAAGTAGTATATCTTTTGAATTGTCAGTTGTCCTCAAAATGGGACCATATAACAGGAACCTGAAACCCACGGACAGGAAAGTGACTCTCTGACATAAAGTAAGTTGGACTGATCAATTGAATAAAAATAAACCTAATTATTTATTAGGGACCATTCAATTATCACGCTGTATTTATCCAACCATCTCACAACATCTGCAGATTTTTTATTTGACCTGTCTCCATCTCGGTTAAACACTAGAGATGTATAGGAGGAAGGGAGGGCATCTGACATACAGGGATGTAGAAAGATGGGAGGGCATCTGATATACAGGATTATTGAAGCATGGTCATGCGTCTGACACACATATATATATATATATATATATATATATATATATATATATGTGGTATATAGATGGATGGGAGGACATCTCTGACACACTCATCTTGCTTCCTTGTCGTCAGGTCAGTGGAGGAGAGTTTTAACATGTCTGACGACAGCGCAGGGCCCAGCCTCGGTGTGGCTCGTAAAAAGAAGATTGCAATCGGAGTCATCTTCACACTGTCTTCAAACCCAGAGGAGAACAGCCGCTTCCAGGACTTCTTCTTCTCACACTTCCCCCTCTTTGAGAGCCACATGAACAAACTGAAGACCGCCATCGAACAGGTACAAGTCTGCACCTGTCCTCTTCTATTTGCACCGGGGCAATGGCAGTAATAGCAGTCAAATCGAAATCACACTTTGAATGGACTGTTTTGCCATCCAGTTACTTATGAATTAATCTAAATATTATTAAATTGTAGTTAGATCAACTGATTAGTAATGTAGTTGTTACTTTCTGACCCATGCAGAATGAACAGTAGTTATTGCCACCCCTGGGATTTATTTATGTATGTATTTATTTATTTTTTATTTCATTGGTAGAGTCCTGGCTGAGTCCTGGTTTAGTCAGGATTTATTCCCAAGGCTCCAGCTGTGAATCATGGACTGACAACATCACCAAAACTTCCCCACAAAGTTGTCTATCTGTAATAAATGAAATGGTACCTTTTAAAGTGTAACTCTTGATCAGGAGTGTGTATATTACGCAGCTGTAGTTTTGATTTGCTCTCCTGACATATCGGTTGAGTGTTATGATAAGTTATAGTCAAATGTGATCTCAAACTTGCTTTAGGGTCAGTCTGACCTGTCTGCGCTCTTTATCAGTGTGTCTGATGACAACTCACTTCCGAGAACCATGTCTCGCTCCTGGAGCCTCCACTGTGCTCTGCAGCATCTCAGAGAGATATGATGGGCATGATTGACAGGTGGATTAGCCAATCGGGACACACATGGTCTGTCTGTATCAAAACAAATATGGCTGCTTACAAGAAAGCCATCTGTGTTTGAGCCTGGTGACCAAGCTGATGTCCCTCTGGATAAAAAATACATAGACATCAGTGTGCGTTTGTCAACCAGATACTGGAAGAAATCAAACCACAGATGTCAGCAGCTTCTTAAGAAATATAGAAATCTTAATACATCCAATACCCATTTTAGCCACAATATTTGGATTGCTTGGTTAATTCTTGATGGATAAATGCACATTATTCTGTCTATTTTATTTTATTTGTATGTGTGAAGGCCATGAAGATGAGCAGGAGGTCTGCTGATGCATCACAGCGAGCCCAGGCGTACAGCCGCATGGTGGAGGGACTCAACCACTTCAGGTATTTTACATTTACACACAGACACAGAGATTCTGGGGTGAATGACTCACTGAGGGCAGAGCCTCATTTATTATATTTGTATTATGTTCATTTTTAATAGTCTGTTTTATTATTAATGAAATAATGAATCATTATTTTAAGCTTGTAGTAGTAGTGTAGTGTCTCCTGTGTCCTGAGATTATGAGGGAACTGCGCTGTGCCATACAAGCCTATAGGGGTCGCAGTGCAGACTATAAACCGTAAAACACAACGACAGCATGACGGGGCTGTTGAAGCGTAACATCTGGATGGTAGGTTTTGTTATATGGTTGGTTGCAAATCAGGCAGAGCCCCTCAGTGTTTTTAAAAGTTCACTTGATCGTGTATTTCATATTTGAAGAAAGTAGTTTTTATTCTTATTTTAACTGCTCCTCAGTGCACCAGCAGTTCTTGTAACATTTATTAATATTACCTTTCACATGACCATATTTTAAACAATGTAATCCATCAAATTACATCAGAAATATATACTGCTGTGGTCTCCCATGTAAATACTTAACTAATGTGTACCTAAATACCTAATTAATATTGCTACTTCTGTTACTACTTAACAGTACTTGGTATTACTTCTAGTCTTAGAGTCTAGACTCACATTACCCTGTTTAAAATATAATCCCAGTAAGTCAGTTACATGGGAAAGTGTCACTGTACTTTTCCGCAAGTCGGTTCCTCTGGTCATTTCTATATAAAAGCATCACTCTGCGTTCAGCCCTTTAACACTGCAGCAGCTGCCTCTTGGCTTGTTGCATTTATTCGATGACGTGGAGTCTCTCATAGGATTACACAGTCTATTATTGAACTCGGTGCTGGTGTTTGTACTACGTTGCCGTGTCATTGGCCACTTTTAACGATGTGATTAACGTTCTGTACACAGCTCTCATGCCAAGGTGTTGTGTTGACGGGGATTCATTTGACTCGCAAGGAGAAACTTTGAGGACATGAATTATTGTATAACTTTTGGAATTGTTTTGCATAGTTATGTTGGTAATTCATGATGACAGGGTTTCATGTTTTTCTAATTAATACTATTTTTGACGGGACTGTGCATGTGGTACATATTTATGACTTAGTATCAGTGCCAGTCTCTGTATATTTGTACTTTTATTACTCATGTAAAACTATACTGAGTTGTAAAACGAAATCCCTCTGCTTATGTCATCAATCGTATTAACTATAGTGCAATTTAGACATATCTTGGCTCTTGTTTGCAGTATGGTTGCTAGGTAACAGTTATGGAAATACCTGTACTGATGTCATACCTGCTGGGACTCCCTAAAAAAGCAGGGCTTAATTAGTTCTATTGCAACTATGGCAATGAACTTTTAAACAGTGTCTTCCTATTCACCTGAGTCTAAAAACAGACTTTTTGACAAGACAAAGCTGCATTTATACCTCAGATTAAAACAAAAACACATCCAGTTTTTTCTTTAACTCTCCACTGACGCATCAGAGACACTATGTACTCCCCAAACAACACAGACTTTGTATCAGTGGTTATGCTGCAAATGTCGATTTTTCACAATTATTTTTTCAGTCAGGTTAAGGTTTGGGTTAAGATCTGAGCTCTGTTTAGGAATTGTTACTGAATTTTAATATTTGCTGTTATCACAACTATTGACTATGACATGAACTCAGGGAAAACACAGCACACAGCAGTTAGTTAACCCTTCCAGACCGACGGTATCGTATGCTATACCCGGGAATATGTTTTATATAACCACACATAACCGTAAATGATAGAAACTGCCTTTTTTTCCCCTTGAAAAGCTGAAACTTTCCGAGCATGTTTGCGGCATTATGCTACGTCACACACTGCGTGATGACGTCAGGAAAACAAGAGTCCAGTAGGAACTTTGTTTTCCACCAAACAAATGCCCTCTGTGCATTTTGATCGGCCCAAACTTTGCCAAAGAGTGTAGTGAGTCAAAACGGTCGATGCTCTGAGCGTCTGTGTTCATAAGTGCAGTTATTTCTCAAATAAATGACAAATTATGCATCTTAGTCTGCGTAATTGTGCATCCCTTGCTATTTTTATTCGAAACGGTTTATTTCAGTCCAAATGTCCAAATCCAAACGTAATAAAGCCCATGGAAATGCAGGAAGTGATGTGGCTCTGTGTCCTGGACCTGACACCAGCTGTTTCCATGACTCACACCAGGAAATTCCTGGGGCCATTGCATGTTTTGATTTGAGGCAATAAGGATATTTTGAGTTTACTTACAGACTTGATAGTTTACACCAGACATGTCCAAACTACGGCCCGTGGGCCAAATGCGGCCCTCTGACAAATTTTTCTTCCAGGCAAATTGGCCCAAATCACCTTACATCAATTAAAAATGTACTTTTTACTGCAATTTTTTTGAAAATTTACTTTGATAACGTGAATATTGAATATTTAGTGTACAGTTTTGAGGATCACAGCGTGAATAAAGACTGATGGATCATTCTAATGTTTTAAATCATGCACAAATTGCAATTATTCACTGTACTGAGCACCAGTCTTCGGCCCTCGATCGGCCTCTGCTTCATCTGTGTTTGGATATGTGGCCCTTGATGAAAAAAGTTTGGACACCCCTGGTTTACACTTTTATAGCTAAGGCCCTAAATTAAGCATTTTTCATGGCCAAAAAGTTGTTTATACAAGTTTGCTGTGTGTTTTGTATCAAAGAGTGTGAATTATATTTTCCTTTTATTTTATTTTTTTTTTTTTTTCATTTGTATTTCTGGTCCTGTAGCTTTAATTACAGGCGTATGACACAACTACAGCAGGAGATTGTGAAATAACAGGTTGTAGTGAAAAAAAAGGATGTATAACACTTCATCAGGGAGTAGAAGGGGGAGTTTAAATAGCAAAATTAAGATAAGAAAAAAAAAATCCAGGCGAGGACAAGTGCACTAAATTTGCCCTTAGGTCTGGACGGGTTAACTCTGATGACGCGAACGCTAAGAAGACACGCCCCCGAAGACAGGCCGAGAATTTAGGGAGTCCCCGTATCTGCTGCCCCTGTCCATCCAGGAAGTCAAATGACAAATTATCGCACTGAAGGAAAAACACCGCTGATCCCTACAGGACCAGTGATCTCGTTAGTTTCACATACAGCACCTCTGAATACGTTTTGGAACGAAGGCGTCGCCTGATTTAAAAACCTACTTCCTCTTTCCACTCTGGTCCCTCTGCGTTCAAACTCCACGCACAGATTTATTGCTCATTACATTCAGCTGACACGCTAACAGACATCTGCATAGTGTTCCAGCGTGATGCCCGGGCTGTCTTCACCGCCCCGACACTTAACTACAACGGTCATATGCTTTCTGTTGGCCCCGGTCCCAGCGCAACCCAAGCCCGCGGAGAGGCCGGCCTATCTGCCAGTGACCACCAGGAATAGTAAATAACATGCGAGTGCCAAGGAGAGGCATGCGGGGCTCTCCGGACAAACACAATATCTGCAAAACGCTCACCTCCGAGCAGACACCAGCGGCTAAATTTAAGCCACCTTTGCCATTATGAGGCTGGAAAGATTGCGATGTGGTAATGGGTGAATGCATTGACGTAGACGGAGGGCAGTGAGCACGCATGCTGGAAAAGATAAGATGTATGTCAGGACAAGACACGGGGAGAAGGCCAACAGACAGACAAAGAGGTGGGGCTCAGTGATACAAGAAAAATGCTTAATTATGATTTTTTTGTTTTGTTTTGTTTTGCATGTGGTACATATTTATGACTTAGTATCAGTGCCAGTCTCTGTATATTTGTACTTTTATTACTCATGTAAAACTATACTGAGTTGTAAAACGAAATCCCTCTGCTTATGTCATCAATTGTATTAACTATAGTGCAATTTAGACATATCTTGGCTCTTGTTTGCAGTATGGTTGCTAGGTAACAGTTATGGAAATACCTGTACTGATGTCATACCTGCTGGGACTCCCTAAAAAAAGCAGGGCTTAATTAGTTCTATTGCAACTATGGCAATGAACTTTTAAACAGTGTCTTCCTATTCACCTGAGCCCTCGGCTGATTTTCTACCAAAATATTTTAATTATATTTTCTATTAAAATATTGGTAATTTTCTGCGTCACTTAGCATAACAGCATCTCCAGCGTCTCTGTACGTGGCCCCTCCCACCAGAGCAGCACAAATGAAGACTTGTCTCTTTCCAAACGCTCTTAAAGGACGATCGTTTTGACTGTTGACCGTGACACCCTCATCAGAAAAATGTCCAACATGAGAAAAGTGGAGCCGAGTGCAGAATTTTACAACAAAAATTGACTTATTCCTGTTTATACAAGTTCATGTTAAAACTTTGTGTTGAAATTACATTTTTCTTAAAGTTTCAGGTTGTTCATAATATTATAATATTTTGTAAAAGAAAGAGTTCATCAATTAAAAAAGATTTCTGTAATAGATTTGCGTTTCCCTGCAAAAATATTTGAACTTATTGTTATTTTTGGGGTTTATATGACATGAGTTTTCTGATCCGGACACTTTGGGATCAAAGTCGGTTGGATACAACCCCTGGACCAAAATGAGTTTGACACCCCTGCGCTACAGTCTTTTTGTGTGATTTGTTAATTGCGTCCATCCAAATTGCAGTTTTGATTTGATTATGATGGGTTAACCAGTGGTTCAGACCAATCACAGATTAATTGTGGTTTGGGTTGAGCCAAAGGTGAAACACCAAAGTGAAGCAGTAACTTCATAACATGTAGTTAACAGCTCCTTTTACCTTTTAGTTCAATAGAGATGGACAATTCCAGGACTGAAAACATCTAAATGATTGAGCGTTTATGGAGTTTAAAAACACAGTAGAGCACTTCATGTATTACCACATGACATCACAAGGTAGAATAAAGTGTTTTCAGTCTGAGAGAAGAACTCCACCTAAATATGTGTGTTAAATTTGTGTAAATGAAACAAAACACAATGTTTGTGATGAGAGAACAACATTCTAACATAGAAGAATAGTGTGATACAGGCTTTTTAACACAAGTTTGATTTCTGGGTTTGTTTCGCTGTGAGAGTCGTTCCAGATTGATAATTGACCTCGATCAGTATCAATCCGACGTGACCCAGCTGCCTCCACTACAGAAAACCCAACCTATGCCAACGTAAGGGAAAGTGTCGCCTCATTCATAATGCAGTTTGCTCATCTGTTTTGAGTCCAGAGCTAAAATTATCAATCACCATCCTGCTCCAAAGTGAAAGAGGAGGTCAAGACATTTAGAATTATGTGGTAACTTTAATCTGTCTCGTCATGGTTTCAACCCTTCGTCTCTCCCTCTGGGACTTGGGGCAAATCCTCTAAACCAGGCTCAAATTAGACCTTAAAATAGAACCAAGGCCACTGCACTGCAAAAACAGCCCCTCTCCCAGGAGCTGTGCACGATTATACACTCTTACAATATGTAACGTCTGTGGTATAGAGCCAGTCAGCTGCTTGTCGTCATGGAGATGCCCCAAAAGCTCCACAGTGGAGTTTAACAAGTGACCCTGTATGTTTTTGAGCAATAAAAATATTAGGCTATTTTCTGATTTATCATCTACGATTAAGTTCATCACAAACATATTTGGAGTTGTGGCTGTATCTGGAGATATGTGTCCATATTTGGAGTTCGTTTCATTCATTTTTGAAAACAAATGAATAAATATTACAGCTGTTTTCATGGCCAAAATAATGCCATGAAAAACATACATTCTTACTCTGAGCAGGGTCGCCTCTCCACAGATCTGACCTGATTGAAAACTTGCTCTGCATTTGCCTTGCCCAAATGTGAAGTCTATTTCACAGGTGTCAAACATACGGCCCGGGGGCCAGATCCGGCCCTCCAAGACCTTTAATGTGGCCCTTGGGTGATTTTCTTCTAAAATATTTTAAATATATTTTCTATTAAAATCTTGTTAATTTTCTGTGGTGTTTATCACAGCAGCGTCTCCAGCGTCTCTGTACGTGGCCCCTCCCACCAGAGCAGCACAAATGAAGACTTGTCTCTTTCCAAACGCTCTTAAAGGACGATCGTTTTGACTGTTGACCGTGACACCCTCATCAGAAAAATGTCCAACATAAGAAAAAAGTGGAGCCGAGTGCAGGATTTTACAACAAAAATTTACTTATTCCTATTTACATACAAGTTCATGTTAAAACATTGTGTTGAAATTGAATTTTTCTTAAAGTTTCAGGTTGTTCATAATATTATAATATTATAACAAGAAAGAGTTCATCAATTAAAAAAGATTTGCGTTTCTCTGCACAAATATTTGAACTTACTGTTATTTTTGGGGTTTATATGACATGAGTTTTCTGATCCGGTTGGATACGGCCCCCGGACCAAAATGAGTTTGACACCCCTGGTCTGTTTGAACATTCCACAGACAGTGTTGGTTGGTCTGATGGGGGGAATAGACTCAGTTGTTGAGCCTTGTTATCAACATGTCATGTATTGTGATATTGTGCAGAGACACTCACTCCTATAATAAATCGCTCAGTTTGGCCCATAAAATCCTCCTCAAATATGCCGGACGCCCACACATCTGCAGCTGGTGGGTAAAAATGCTCGGGTCTTGTCCCCGCTCCAGAGATTCCCCTTTGGGCATGCTCAGTTTGGCCCACGGCCGAGACGCGCCCACCCCTTCACTCGTCGGAAAACCCTCAAATGTGAATGAAGCGATCCGAGCACAGACGGAGAGGAGAGGAGGAGAGGAAGAGGAGGAGAGGAGGATAGGAGGCAGTCCCAGGGCAGACAGGACAAACTCTGTGAACTGATACTAAACAAAAGAGGGGCTGTTCTGAAGTGCATATGACAGGGTTTTATGTTTTTCTAATTCTCACTTGTTTTGTTGGGATAGTTCCTGTGGTCAATATTCATTCGAGTTTTACATTAGTCAAGTAGCCGCTTGTGTAAAACGCTCAGGAGAACAGTACTAAACTACAGGAAGTGGCGCTGAATACTAAAACAGGAAACTTCTATGTAAGATCTGTGTCCTGTGTCATGGAACATGGAAAACTCATCCAAAACGCAGAGACAATTCACGCACAAAGAAGACATTTTCAGATTGTGTAATTTAGAAGTTTCGCTCCTTGTTGACATTGTTCTAGTTGTTGGTCGGCAACAGTTGGGGAATCACCTCGACACACATCATATCATATGCCTGTGTCCAGTGTTGGGAAGGTGACTTTTAAAATGTAATCCCCTACAGATTACAGATTACACACCCCAAAATGTAGTTTGTAACGGAATCCATTAAATTACTTAAAGTGAGTAATGTAATCTGAATACTTTGGATTACTTGATTTGCTGTAGAGAAGCAAAGACGAGGAAATCGTAACATAAGATGTTTCGTTTGATAAAAGAAAATAAAAAGATCAGACTTTACTGAACCAAATTAAAAATATTATTGATAGAATGGTTTCGTCCTGTTAAATCCTGTTTTAGTCCTGGTTTAGATCTAGTTTAGATCTATTTTAGACCTGGGTTTAGACCTGGTTTAGACCTGGTTTACACCTGGTTTACACCTGGTTTTGATCTAGGTTAGACCTGGTTTAGTCCTGGTTCAGACCTGGGTTCAGTCCTGGTTCAATCCTGATTTAGTCCTGGTTTAGTGCCCGGCAATGAGTGGAATTACGGAATTACTTAAAAAAAAAAAAAAAAAAAAAAAGGGATTTAGTCCAAAATGTGAAAACAGGAAAATATCTCTGTGTAATCCATTTATTTCAACAAAGTAACTGTAATCCAATTATCACTCACTGAAACAGTAACTGTAACTGAATACAGTTACTCATAATTTGTACTCTGATTACCTAACTCTGGTACATGTAATCTGTTACTCCACAACACTGTCTGTGTCCAACCAGAAACTAAATTAATAAACAACACTAAAATTAAAAAACATTGAAAATTCTTGGTAAGAATTTCATAAAATGTAAAATCTCCTGATACTCTGTTTGTATCTGATGAAGCATGTCCTTGTGAGTGTGTGAAGTAGTTGTGTTGTGTCCTCAGAAACACGGTGTGTGACCTGTACACGATGCCCCGCGTGTCCGAGCCCGTGTGGCTGACCATGATGTCAGGCGCCTCGGAGAAGAACCAGCTCTGCGGAACCTTCATGAGGGAACTGAGCTTCCTGATGGAGCAGGCCTCCAAGAACCAGTGAGTACCACACCTCCTCCTGCACCAACGCCACTTCACAAAGAACATTCTGGACGCAGGGGGACGACATCATCACCTTCAAATGATGTGTCCAAGTCCTGAATCCACCGCTTTTGTATTTGAGCTTGACAATTAAGAAGCCAAGGGGAGTAATGAAGGAAGGAAATGACACCACCAAGAACCAGCCTAGGGAAGGAGACATGTCCCTCAGAGGGTGAGACATGTTCATTAGAGGGTGAGACATGCTCTTCAGAGGGTGAGAAATGTCCATCAGAGGGTGAGACACGTTCTTCAGAGGGTGAGACATGTTCATCAGAGGGTGAGACATGTTCATCAGAGGGTGAGACACGTTCATCAGAGGGTGAGACACGTTCATCAGAGGGTGAGACACGTTCATCAGAGGGTGAGACACGTTCCTCAGAGGGTGAGACACGTTCATCAGAGGGTGAGACATGCTCTTCAGAGGGTGAGACATGCTCTTCAGAGGGTGAGACATGTTCTTCAGAGGGTGAGACATGTTCATCAGAGGGTGAGACACGTTCATCAGAGGGTGAGACATGCTCTTCAGAGGGTGAGACACGTTCATCAGAGGGTGAGACATGCTCTTCAGAGGGTGAGACATGCTCTTCAGAGGGTGAGACATGTTCTTCAGAGGGTGAGACACGTCCCCCAGGGAGTGAGACACGTCCCCCAGGGAGTGAGACACGTCCCCCAGGGAGTGAGACACGCCCTTCAGAGGGTGAGACATGCCCTTCAGAGGGTGAGACACGTTCATCAGAGGGTGAGACATGCTCTTCAGAGGGTGAGACATGCTCTTCAGAGGGTGAGACATGCTCTTCAGAGGGTGAGACATGCTCTTCAGAGGGTGAGACATGCTCTTCAGAGGGTGAGACATGCTCTTCAGAGGGTGAGACATGCTCTTCAGAGGGTGAGACATGCTCTTCAGAGGGTGAGACACGTTCATCAGAGGGTGAGACACGTCCCCCAGGGAGTGAGACACGTCCCCCAGGGAGTGAGACACGCCCTTCAGAGGGTGAGACATGTTCTTCAGAGGGTGAGACATGTTCTTCAGAGGGTGAGACATGTTCTTCAGAGAGTGAGACATGTTCTTCAGAGAGTGAGACACGTCCATCGGAGGGTGAGACATGTTCTTCAGAGGAGGGTGAGACATGTCTATGAGATGTCCCTCTTTCATATTCCAAATTGAAAGATACGAGACAAATATTTATGGAAAACACAATTAATATGAGGGGGACTGTAGTCCTTGGCGGAGTCTGCGCTTTCTGACTGCTTTTCTAGTTTCTATTTTGTTTTTCTGGTTCTGTTTTTCTTTCTCCTTAACCTGTTGTTTCCCTTTGTTTATTGCCCATTTTGGGTGTTGGCATTGTCTTAGCGCATTGTGAATGTGTCTGTCTTCTTCCTGTTTGTCTTGTTCATCTGTTATGATGTTGGTTCTGTCATACATTGTTCTTACAGCGGAGAGTTTGTGGGCTGTGGGATGTTCTGATGTCCATGAGAGATACTGGTCCATATGAAATAACACTCTAGGTCTGAAAAAAATAACCTAAAAACATAGAATATTGGAAGACCAAATGAATCTCATTGGACTATATTAAGACATTTAAAGAAAAGGTGCCCTGTTGTTTATTTGACAGTTCAAGTCTGCTGTGTGACAATCTGGTTAGAACTCGCTCCGGGAAAAGGATCTGAGGTCTTTGAACATGCATTCCTTTATATTCGGTGACTGATGCTTAGACATTCATAGACGACCACTCACAGCTTCCTCTGGGGGCAGCTCTGAGTCACAGGGACGACGTCTATAGGCAAAAAATGTTACGTCTTCAAACAAAAGGTCATTTTGTAAAGAACTGGACCGTTACAAAGCTCAACTCTGGGGCTTCTTGGTTCATTCTCTTGTCGTTTGTTCTAATGGGCTACTGTAGTATCTTTGTGTCGTACTGGTCCCTCTCTGAGCTCAGACGCTTCTCAAATGTTTCTGTCAGATGGACGTTGAATTATCACAGTATCAAATGGCAAAGCCCGCGATTAATTAGTCATTTACGGATCTCTTCATCACGTCTCCTCCTGTCCTTGTCTCCCCTCCCTTTCTCTTTTTCCCTTCTCTTCTCTCTCCTTTCCTGTCTCCTCTTCCCTCCTGGTCTCCTCTCTCCTCTCATCCCCTCCTCTCCTCTGACTCTCTTTTCCACCTCTTCCCTCGTCTTCTCTCTCCTAATTCCCTCTTTTCCTTCTCTCCTCTCTTCTCCTCTCTTCTTGCCTTCTATAGATTCTTATGAATGAGAGGATTTTGTGCCGTTTGAATTGGTAGCTGTGTCTGCATTGAACACAGTGGAGCATTGACAAACTTTTGGAGTCGAGTTTGAATCGACCGTTCTGTCTCTTTGTCTCTTGAAGGTCTCATCTTCTGCAAAATTGACCTTTTCAGTCTTTTGATGCCTTCGTGTTTTGTGCGAGGTTTCTCATCCAAATATATGTGTGATTTAAAGACGTGGTATTTGGCGACATGGACTTTTTGGAGCTTTCGGCCATGTCAAAACATTCCTTTATCCAAAACATCCTAGAGCCGGGGTGGGCAGTTGCTTTTTCCATGGGGCCACATGAAAAACAGAAAGTATTGTGGAGGCCAAAATGCTTAATTTAATTCTGCATAAAATTATCTGTATTTCTTTATAAAAAGCAGTAAATTTAATTGTTCTGACAAGACTAAGGCTGCGTTCAGACTGCAGCCTGAAGTGACCCAAATCCGATTTTTTGGCCCCTATGTGACCTGGTTTAGTCCTGGTTTAGACCTGGTTTTAGTCTTGGTTTAGTTCTGGTTTAGTCCTGGTTTAGACCTGGTTTAGACCTGGTTTTAGGCCTGGTTTAGACCTGGTTTTAGTCTTGGTTTAGTTCTGGTTTAGACCTGGTTTTAGTCTTGGTTTAGTTCTGGTTTAGTCCTGGTTTAGACCTGGTTTAGACCTGGTTTAGACCTGGTTTAGACCTGGTTTAGACCTGGTTTTAGTCCTGGTTTAGTTCTGGTTTAGTCCTGGTTTAGACCTGGTTTTAGTTTTGGTTTAGACCTGATTTAGACCAAGTTTTAGTCTTGGTTTAGTTCTGGTTTAGTCCTGGTTTAGACCTGGTTTAGTCCTGGTTTAGACCTGGTTTAGGCCTGGTTTAGACCTGGTTTAGACCTGGTTTAGGCCTGGTTTAGGCCTGGTTTAGACCAAGTTTTAGTCTTGGTTTAGTTCTGGTTTAGTCTTGGTTTAGTTCTGGTTTAGTCCTGGTTTAGTTCTGGTTTAGTCCTGGTTTAGACCTGGTTTAGGCCTGGTTTAGACCTGGTTTAGACCAAGTTTTAGTCTTGGTTTAGTCTAATTTAGTCATGGTTTAGACCCGGTTTGCGTCCTGGTTTAGTCCTCATTTAGATCTAGTTTAGACCTGGTTTTAGTCTTGGTTTAGTCTAGTTTAGTCATGGTTTAGACCTGGTTTAGACCTGGTTTACGTCCTGGTTTAGTCCTGGTTTAGATCTAGTTTAGACCTGGTTTTAGTCCTGGTTTAGACCTGGGTTCAGTCCTGGTTCAATCCTGATTTAGTCCTGGTTTAGTGTCCGGCAATGAGTGGAATTACCAAAAAAAAATAAAAATAAATTTAAAAAGGGATTTAGCACAAAATCCATTTACTTCAACAAAGTAACTGTAATCCAATTAGCACTCACTGAAACAGTAACTGTAACTGAATACAGTTACTCATCATTTGTACTCTGATTACATGTAATCTGTTACTCCCCAACACTGTCCAGGAGGCCCTCACCTTCTCCTTCTTTTCGATCCCTTGACCACAGATGCCTCGACGTTCATGTGATGTCGTTGTGTAATGACTTATTCACATGATGGTTGCTGCGGTTACGAGACTCCGAGGTCATGTGATTGCACTGGAAGGGGAAGAGGAAGTTCATTCTTGTTTGTTTTGTGCCGAGAACTGGTTAAAATAAACTAAGCAGTCTTGGGGAAATGGTAGAAAGTAGTACTCAAAAGTGCTACTGTACTAATACTGTAAAATGACTTAAAATATAGTACAAAAATGAGAGGAGGAGCCTATGAAAAGCACTTTACCTGTTGTTATTTAAGTATTAGTCTAGTCATATTTAATAATTTCGATAAGTTGTGGCTCTTGTTTACATTATTCTTGTTTAATATAATAATGTTGATGATGTTTTAGTGAAAAGTAGAGCGGTCTAACCTGTCAGACTTTAAATGCAGTGCTGTGAAAGTAGTCAGTCCACCGCATTTTTGACCTCACATCACCTCAGGTCCCGAAGATACAAGGAACAGAGACGCTCGTCATGTGCCTGATCTGGAGATAGAAAGTGCTCACACCAATTTTCGGAACCTAATGAACATATTTGAGAAACGCAGAAGTCTGAACTGTAAAATAACACAAGAATCCGGTTCATTTCAGTGCGCCGTGTCTGTAGACGTGAGGTTTTATAGTTTTCGTTTGCAGTTTGTCCTAAAGTTGGTTGAAGGTGCATTTGAGTTTCAAAGAGGTGCAATAATACGCTTCCGTTCAGTGTCATTATTTTAAGCCCCTGAAATGAGGACGCAAACACGTTTAACTGCATCCTCTAGACCCGGGTTGATTGCATTTTTGGAGGAATAAATTGCATATAATGAGACTGTTGTTAGGGTTCAGATTGCGTACAAAATAAAATCTGATTTGCATCTATTATCTCTGTCTGGCATCTACAGTCATTTTACAAAGTTCTCTACAGTTCACTCTGTATTCTGGGTCATGTGTTTGTCAGTTTACGGCTGCAAAATGAATCGCAAATGAATTAAAAATGCAATTTGAAAGGACACAACTAGTCATGTGTTTAAAATGATTATAAAACTTGAACACAGAACACTATCATTAACAGATACAGATAACATTGCACGTGGCAGCCGCGGGGTCTTAAAAGTCTTAAAAAGGTCTTAAATTTCATGTTCCTAAATTAAGGCCTTAAAAAGTCGTAAATTATGTTGTCCAAGTTTTTTTTTTTCACGAAGGTCTCAAATTTCGTTTGTCTATTTTTTGTAAACTCAACCGAGCTGCAGGGCAAAGTTAAACGAAGGGAGGGAAAAAAAAGTGAAAACATGTAACAGTTTAGCTCACAGGTGTCAAACATGCGGCGCGGGGGCCAGATCCGGCCCTCCAAGACCTTTAATCTGGCCCTCGGCTGATTTTCTACTAAAATATTTTAATTATATTTTTATTAAAATCGTGTTAATTTTCTGTGGTGTTTATCACAGCAGCGTCTCCAGCGTCTCTGTACGTGGCCCCTCCCACCAGAGCAGCACAAATGAAGACTTGTCTCTTTCCAAACGCTCTTAAAGGACGATCGTTTTGACTGTTGACCGTGACACCCTCATCAGAAAAATGTCCAACATGAGAAAAGTGGAGTTAGTGTTAAAACATTGTGTTGAAATTAAATTTTTCTTAAAGTTTCAGGTTGTTCATAATATTATAATATTTTGTAAAAGAAAGAGTTCATCAATTAAAAAAGATTTCTGTAATAGATTTGTGTTTCTCTGCACAAATATTTGAACTTATTGTTATTTTTGGGGTTACATGCCATGAATTTTCTGATCCGGACACTTTGGGATCAAAGTCTGTTGGATACGACCCCCGGACCAAATTGAGTTTGACACCTGTGATTTAGAGTATGCACAAACAATACTTAGTTTGTCTTGGTATAATGTTATAAATTATTTTTTTGGCCATTTTACAAGCAATACATATGACTGTAAATGAGTTCTGAATGAGATTTTCTTAAAGTTTTTTTTTTTTTTTTTGTTACTTAAAGCAGTGAGTAATGGTCATTATTAGAATTGGATCTGGTGTTTTTCGTCAACATAATGGGTGCGATGTTTTTAATTTAAGTGGTCTTAAAAAGGTCTTTAAAAAGTCTTAAATTTGGGGTAGTCTAATCTGGGGACACCCTGTTGCAATACATTGTCAGAAAAATTCTTAGATATTGTCCCCAAGTCTTTCAGTCCTACTGTCCTGGCAGCAGAACTTGGCCCCAGAGAAAGAAATGTGTCTGTGCCATGACGAACAATGCGGCTTACTTGTTATATTTTGTTTTCAGTGCATTTTCTTCTGCAGAAAAGTGTGCTGGAGCGTGTCTGTTATTGGTTTGTCAAAGAATTGCACAGTGGTGTGGTTCACTTTACATCTAGTCCCAAACCCCTTCCATTCCGAACGAGAGCAGGAGGAACTGGCTCACTAGGACGGCTGATTGGAGTTTTGTGATTTGCATGTTAGTTAAAGATACTACTTCTTTCTCCTCTGTCAGGTTCCTGCCCGCTCTGCTCACCGCCGTCCTGACCAATCACCTGGCCTGGGTTCCCACGGTGATGCCCAACGGTCAACCGCCAATCAAGATCTTCCTGGAGAAGCACTCGTCTCAAAGTGTGGACATGCTGGCCAAGACACACCCCTACAACCCGCTCTGGGCTCAACTCGGTACGTCTCTGTTTTTAAACATGTTGCCGCACAAGGACACGTGAAGGACTGACTCAACAAAACATTTAAACTCAACATTTCTGACGACCTGCTGAGGGTGAACTCACTGTCTGCTGTGAAAGACATTAGAAAGCTGTTGGTGATGCTGCCTATTGGTGCGAGTATTGAGCAGAGAGCTACATCTAGTGGTTAAACGAAGGAACTACACAATGACCAAGTCTCATTATTACAAGTTTATCAGACTTAAATCAAACGATAAAAACAATTATGTAAAATTTTCAAATTTAAATCAACCAAAAACCTATTGTCTTAGTTATATTTATTCATTATTTCTTTTCACACTACTGGTTAGAAGTTTAGACATATTTTTTTTTTAGTTTTTTTCTTTATTTTCATCACAATTTACATTCTTAATGAAAGCCTCAAAAATAAGAATGGACTTGTTTGGAATGTAGTAAACAAAAATACACTCAAAATAACTCAAAACTAGTTATTATTTTTTGCAACCTTTTGCTTTTATCACTGGGTCCAGTCAAGCAGTAACGGAGGGAAACAGGGGCAGATTTTTGACATTCAAATGTCTCTTATTCAGAAACTAGAGGAACTATTGAAATAAGTAAAGTATCAGAATGTAGGAAAGAGTTACACTCCAACAGGGTCAAGTTAAACCTGTGATATTCTTTCAAGTTGTTGACAAAAAATTTTTAAACTCATGTCGGTAACGGAGGAAATGAAATATGCAGCACTTTTTGGTCAATAAATCCAAACAGTGATAACTCTTGGTTCTCACTTACATATCCTTAACAAACTGGTTTGAATATTTGCTTCATATAGTTTTCTACCATATGGTACAAGATTAGGATGAAAAACCTCTTTTTTGACTCATGAGATTTTTTATTAATAAAGGTCATGGTAACGGAGGGAAAAGTAACGGAGGGAAAATTGTGCAAACAAGTAGAAGGTGCAGGATTTTACATCATTTGTTGCTTTTTTCTTCCGAATACTTTAATATTACTTCAAAATGAAAGGAAACTATTTCTATAAAATATGTCAGTCCCTCCAAGCAAATTTTTATCATTTTAAATACATATAAAAAAATAAAAAATCATGTCCCTTCATCAACAGTTCAAAGATGGAATAACACAAGATATGATGAAATACATCCATTTATTTACATGATTTTCAGGTCTTTGAAATTTGGGAAATAATTTTTGTTCCATGTTTCATACATGGTCTGTTTAAAACATATGGAACTTTAGAACCAAAAATGGTACAGAAAAAAGGCAAACAGTTTCATAAACTAGAGTACATATGTATCTGTTCAATACATTTTTATATCAGATGCATTAACTTAAACTTTTGGCCTTGTTGTTTACTTCTGTTTGACCGGACCCACTGTTTGGATGCTTATTATTCCACTAATGAACACACAGACTATTTCAGGAGACTTCATCATGAAGCTCACTGAGAGAAGGACAAGAGTTTGCAGCTCTGTCCACAAAGCAAAATGTGAATACTGTGAGGATTTGAATATAAAATATAAACTAATATTTAGTTGAGTTATTTGTTTGTTTTCTTGTTTTCTTTGTTACATACTTCCATATATTTGATGTTTTCTGTGTGTATATAAATTGTAGACATTGAACAAGATGGTGAGTCCAAACTTTTGACTGGTCGTGTTTGTTTTTGTGATTTAAATGCATCTCTCTTTGATGTACTTAGTGTATAAATTTCAGTATAGTAATAAAGTTGTCTTGTTTGTGGTCAGGTGATCTGTACGGTGCGATCGGTTCCCCCGTGCGTCTCTCTCGCACTGTGGTGGTGGGGCGCAGGCAGGAGCTGGTGCAGAGGCTCCTCTATGTGCTCACATACTTCATCCGCTGCTCCGAGCTCCTGGAGGCCAACGCCCCGGGAGAGTGCGAGGACGAGGCCATCGTGATGCCCGGCTCCCTCATCACCACGGCGATCAGGAAGGGCGAGGTGGAGGAGTCGGACTACGTTCTGGTGACGGTGCACAAACCCGGAGAGCAGTACCTGGCCCAGAGTCAGATCTACGCCTCAGAGCAGAGCCTCCAGAGCAGCCAGCGCCCAGAGCCAGAGAGCGGAGCAGCAGATACACTGGAGGTGAGAGCAGGGTTACGACTGATACTTAACAACTGATGGCAGCAACATTTCCTCCAGGTGTGACGCTAACATAGGCTGCGTTCAGACTGCAGCCTGAAGTGACCCAAATCCGATTTTTTGGCCTCTATGTTCCTGTATCTGATCTTTTAATGTCAGTCTGAACCACACAGATCAGATTTTTTCAAATGTGACTCAGGACACTTGGATATGTGCTCCTGAAACTGATACATATCTGATCTTTTGACATGTGACTTCAGTCTGAACAGCCAAAGCGCATTCATCCACCTACACGTTATCAACAAGACACAAACGTCACTATTCTGCGCTGAAGTAGGCGAAAATTGTTAATGAACTCCATGTCACTGAAGTGAAGCACATCACCACTCACCACTCTTGGCTCCGTCTCCACATCCACACGTTCCTTTCAACGGACGTCGCTGCCGCTGTCCCACAAAACACCACGACCAAAAACCTCGTCCTTCTCCTTCTCAATCTCCTCCTTAAAACAAGTAAGTTGTTCATGTTCTGGCTCCGGTACGAGAGGAACTTTAAAATCTCCAGGTGCTCGATGCTGCGTCCATGTTTGGACAACTTCCGTAAACACAGAGACGCTCGCTGCGGTTGACGTCGTCGTGTCTCCAGTGTCACATGTGGGACACTTTCAGACCATTTACTGTTCACACTGGAGTCACATACAAGTCACATTTAATTGGAAATGTGAACGACCTCGAAAAAACATCGGATTTCACAAAAAAATCGGAATTGAGCGTTAAACCCTGCAGTCTGAACATAGCCAAAATGTACTGCTCTGTCTGAATCTCTGTTCACTCAAAGTAAAAAAAAAAAAGTTAACATTATATTTAAGATTTGACAAAAAACATTCTATGTTTTAGTGAAAGTAGCTTAACACTTAAAATTCTCCCTCATCTCATTCTCTTAGGGCCTGGCTCCACTGCATGCATATTTCACCCTACGCAAGTGTAAAAACTGCAACTTTTGGACGGGTAACTTTGTTACATTGGGAAAGTGAATGACACGTGCAGTGGAGCCAGGCCCTTAGCTGAGAGTTGTGGCTTTCCGAACATATTTGCGGCATAATCCTACATCACACTCCTGCCGCGTGATGACGTATGGAAAACAAGTGTCCAATAGAAATTTCGTTTTCCGCCAAACTCACGCGCTCCGTCCATTTTGATCGGGCCAAACTTTGCCAAAGAGTGTAGTGAGTCAAAATGATCGATGCTCTGAGCGTCTGTGTTCAGAACAATTGAAAAAGCCGCTCTAGTGCAGTTATTTCTCAAATAAATGACAAATTACACATGTTGGTCTGTGTAATTGTGCACCTCTTCTCTTCAGTCCAAATGTCCAAATCTAAATGTAATAAACTCCATGGAAATGCAGGAAGTGATGTGTCTCTGTGTCCTGAACCTGACACCAGCTGTTTCCATGACTCACACCAGGAAAGTCATGGGGCCAATTCACTTTTTTTTGTTTTTGTTTTGAGGGCAATAGAGATATTTTGAGTTTACTTACAGACTTGATATTTTGCACTTTTGTAGCTAAGCATTTTTCATGACCAAAAAGTTGTTTATACAAGTTTGCTGTGTGTTTTGTATGAAAGAGTGCAAATTTTATTTAGATTTTCCCTTTTTATTTATTTATTTTCATTTGTATTTCTGGTCCTGTAGTTTTTATTACAGCCGTATGAACCAACTACAGCAGCAGATTGTGAAATAACAGATTGTACTTAAAAAAAAGGATGTATAACACTTCATTAGGGAGTAAAAGGGGGAGTTTTAATAACAAAATTAAGGAAAAAAGTCCAGGCGAGGACAAATGTACTATAAAGGGTTATCCTAACTAGGGATGGGCATGATTAATCGATTAATTGATAATTGATCATTAAGAATTTCATCGATTACGTTAATTTTAATCGACAAACCGAATGTAGGTGTCTGTGTGTATCGTGACCAAACAGGTGTGTACATGTGTCTCTGCATCAGAAGGAGCGAGACACAAACAGTGGGTCAGTCTGTAACGAACCGAAGCACAAATGTGGATTTAACGATGATTTGGACAAGAAATTCCACACTTTCCGTTGCGTTGGGACAAGTGTGAGTCCATGTGCACAGTGGATAAAGCAGCACATATGTTTCTGTGTCCAGTGGGAAAAAGTTTTTCCAGGTGAGAGTCGCTCAATGTGGATGACGAGGCCCCGCCCCCCTCCCCCCGTACGCTGTCCTGGTTTTGACAAACACAAATCTGGTCACACTGACCTGTATTCACCTGAGTCATGTCTTTTAATCCGACAGAAGTTGAACCACATCAGTGACACAAGAGCTGGAGTTTTATCTTCGCTGAGGTTATGCAAATTAGCGATGTGGTTTTAAGTTTTGTTTCTGTGAGATTTGAACAAAACTGAATTAAACACATTATAATGTCAAACGGGCTGATGTGACTCTAGAGTCGTTATGTTTATATGTCGTAAAGTTGAATTTATTTATGCAGATTAGTGCAGATAGTAATAATAATGATGATCATTTTAATATAAAAACGTTAATGATTAATCGATAATCGATCGTTAATTCTTCCGACGATCGATTAAGAAAATTTCATCGAATGCCCGTCCCTAATCCTAACACTCTCATGTCCCTCCTCCAGGAAACGCCCAAAGAGGAAGAGGAGGACGAGGACGACGAAGACAGCAGCGAGAGCCAGGGGTCCAGGAGCAGCGTGCTTCAATCTGGACACGGCCAGTTCGACTCTACCGAGACCGGGGTGGCGTCCGACTCCCCGCCAACGGTCCGCAAACAGTCCAGCAGTCCAGTGGGCGCGGACCCCAAACTGGAGAACGTGCTACGCGTCGGATCGGCGTCTCCCAGGGATTTAAAAGTCGACGTTTCGGCATCGCCTTGTCTTTCGAACGCAGAGGCTAAAGACTTGGAAGACGTAGACGCCGGCGTAGCGAGTCAACCTGCGAAACTGCAAGCTCATTTAGAAAAGAAACCCCCGGATAAGGCGCAGGCCGGTGCCATGCCGGTACCGACGACGAGCACAGGTCCTATGGGGCTGCCGGACGCTCCAAAAGTGACATTTCTGATTGGAGATTCGATGTCCCCGGAATCCGATACGGAGAGCAGAGGCAGGCGGATGGCGGAAGAAATCAAAAAACACAAAAAAATGATTCTACAGAAAGGTTTTGCGCCAAATCTGCCTCAGGACCAAACCAAAGCGACCAACGACGCGACTCCGCTGCAAAGATCGACCAGTAAAATGTCAGAATGGACGCCTAGCCTTATAGATGATTTTGACGAGTATTTTAGCCCCGAGAATCCAGTCGAAACAAGGACTATAGACGATTTGGTAAAAAGATGCGGCAACACGGACAGTTTAAGCAAAGACCAACTGACTGTAGGTTTGTCCGGGGCTCGTGGAGCGGCGAGGAGTCCAAACTTGGGTCCATGTTTAGATTTTGGACAAAACAGGACTACAACGAGCAAAGGCGAGACGCGGTGTAGGTGCGGTTCAACGGACTCTGCCGATTTTAGCTGTAGGAGCTGCGGCGGGAGCGGGAGCGTCGGGTTTGACGATAGGGGTGCCCGTGTTACCGGAGGACGGCAGGAGCGGGGAGGGGAGAGAAGAGGACCAAAAGAGGAAAGGTTTGCCGCTGGTGGACTGGGACATCCCGAGAAACGAGAGCTCGGACAGCGCCCTGGGGGACAGCGAGACGGAGGAGACGGAGGAGTGGCAGGAGGAAGTGCTGCCTTTCCCCGGGTAAGAGAAAAAAACACTTCAGCTTGTTCACTTTTCTCACTACTGTCAAAAATGTGCTCGTTAGTAGAGTTTTCAAAAAGTATATAAATATGTACGATGTTGTTTCCAGTGTCGGGGAGTAACAGATTACAAGTACCCGAGTTAAGTAATCAGAGTATTCAGTTACAGTTACTGTTTCAGTGAGCGGTAATTGGATTACAGTTACTTTGTTGAAATAAATGGATTAGACAGAGGTAATTTTCAGTTTTCACATTTTGGGATAAACCAGGACTAAACCAGGACTAAAGCAGGACTAAACTAAAAAGCATGACAATATCAAGTAATCCAAAGTATTCAGATTACTTTACTCACTTTAAGTAATTTAATGGATTATGTTACAAACTACATTTTGGGGTATGTAATCTGTAATCTGTAGGGGATTACATTTTAAAAGTAACTTTCCCAACACTGGTTGTTTTTATAGGTCTTATATGACACAAAATTGACTCTTGTGAGCTTTAAGTCGTGTTAAAATGCTGTTACCTCCTCAAAAACAGACCTGGAGTTGTGGTTTGTTTTGTCTGTCTGCATCTCCAAAGCCAAAAATGCTCCGTTTCCATCTTGAAAACAAAATATTCATGAAGCAGTTTTCAAATAAACACAACCTTTTACCTGTAGTTCAGTAGAGATCGGCAATTATAAACAATGTTGGGGAGTAACAGATTACATGTAATCAGAGTAACGTAATCAGAGTACAAATTATGAGTAACTGTATTCAGTTACAGTTACTGTTTCAGTGAGTGGTAATTAGATTACAGTTACTTAATAAATGGATTACACGGCGGTATTTTCCTGTTTTCACATTTTGGGCTAAATCCCTTTTTTAATTTTTTTAAATTAAAAAACCAGGACTAAATCAGGATTGAACCAGGATTGAACCCAGGTCTAAACCACGACTAAACCAGAACTAAACCAAGACTAAAACTTGGTCTAAACCAGGTCTAAACCAGGTCTAAACCAGGACTAAACCAGAACTAAACCAAGACTAAAACTTGGTCTAAAACCAGGTCTAAACCAGGTCTAAACCAGGACTAAACCAGGTCTAAACTAGATCTTAAACAGGACTAAAACAGGCTTTAACAGGACTAAACCAGGTCTAAACCAGGACTAAACCAGGTCTAAACCAGGACTAAACCAGGTCTAAACTAGATCTTAAACAGGACTAAAACAGGCTTTAACAGGACTAAACCAGGTCTAAACTAGATCTTAAACAGGACTAAAACAGGCTTTAACGGGACTAAACCATGCCGCGTGGACCTCTTCCTTCTCTTCTATCAATAATATTTTTAATTTGGTTCAGTAAACTCTGTTCTTTTATTTTCTTTTATCAGACAAAACTTCTTATGTGAAGATTTCCTCGTCTTTGTTTCTCTACAGCAAATCAAGTAATCCAAAGTATTCAGATTACATTACTCATTTTAAGTAATTTAATAGATTACGTTACAAACTACATTTTGGGGTGTGTAATCTGTAATCTGTAGGGGATTACATTTTAAAAGTCACCTTCCCAACACTGATTATAAATAATCCAAATGATTCTAGTGAAGGTTTATGGAGTGTCTGTATCACCACATGACATCACAAGGTGAAGGTTTGACAGAAGAACTCGACCTAAAACATGTAAATGAAACAAAACACAACTCTAGGTATGTTTCTGACGAGGAAATGTTATACGACAGATCAGAAAATGGTGTAATATGGGTTAAAGGTGCACTGTGTAACTTGTCTGCTGGGGAGTATGGCAGCTTGTCGTCATGGAGATGTTATGGTTAGATGTTGTAGCACTAAGCTTCAACTTGAACAAATGCAAGTTGTTGAAAAATCATAGCTTATTACCTTGAGAAAACTTGCATTCTTACTATGACCAGACTCGCCTCTCCACAGATCTGACCTGTTACTTGGTCTCGTGGCATAACCCGTTTGTCTCAGTGGATATAGATACATTTAATGCCATACTGTGGAACACTGCGAGTAAAGTAATTAGGTAGTGGACCTTCCATCAGAAAAGTGACACAATGCAGCTTTAAGCAAGAAGCTCCAGGGTTTGACTTGGGTTGAGTTTTCTGTGTGGAGTTTGCATCTTCTCCCTGTGGCTGTGTAGGTTTCCTCCAGGTTCTTCACCAACAACATGTGCAACAGGCTCCGCCCACAACCTTGAATTTAAAAAAGAATAAATGAATTAATTCAAACTATAATGTATTCATAAATAAACTATGGGCAGATGTGCTCAGAGCAGCAGTTGAATTAGATTTGATCAAAATCAACTACACAAACAAACACAAGTGCATGAAAAAAAAAGTTTTAGAATATAAAACGATGAAAGGCAAAGCCCATATCTATAATCAGTGTCGGGGAGTAACAGATTACATGTACTGGAGCTACGTAATCAGAGTACAAATTATGAGTAACTGTATTCAGTTACACTTACTGTTAAATGGATTACACAGAGGTATTTTCCTGTTTTCACATTTCGGGCTATATCCCTTTTTTTTTTTTTTTTTTTTTTTTTCCGGTAAATTCACTCATTGCCGGACACTAAACCAGGTCCAAATCAGGTCTAAACGAGATCTAAAACCAGGTCTAAACCAGGATTAAACCAGGTCTAAACTGGGACTGAACCAGGACTAAACCAGGACTAAAACCAGGTCTAAACCAGGTCTAAACCAGGTCTAAACCAGGTCTAAACTAGGTCTAAACCAGATCTTAACTAGGTCTAAACCAGGACTAAACCAGGTCTAAACTAGGTCTAAACCAGGTCTTAACTAGGTCTAAACCAAGACTAAACCAAGACTAAACCAAGACTAAACCAGGTCTAAACCAGGTCTAAACTAGGTCTAAACCAAGACTAAACCAAGACTAAACCAGGACTAAACCAGGTCTAAACCAGGTCTAAACCAAGACTAAACCAAGACTAAACCAGGACTAAACCAGGTCTAAACCAGGTCTAAACTAGGTCTAAACTAGGTCTAAACCAAGACTAAACCAGGACTAAACCAGGACTAAAACAGGATTAAAACAGGATTTAACAGGACTAAATCATGCTGCGTGGACGTGTTTCCTCCTCTTCTATCAATAATATTAATATTATATTAATGTTAATTTGGTTCAGTAAAGTCTGGGCATTTTCTTTTGTTTTATCAGACAAAACATTTTATGTGAAGATTTCCTCGTCTTTGCTTTTCTACTGTAAATCAAGTAATCCAAAGTATTCAGATTACATTACTCACATTAAGTAATTTACTCGATTCCGTTACAAACTACATTTTGGGGTATGTAATCTGTAATCTGTAGGGGATTACATTTTAAAAGTCACCTTCCCAACACTGTCTATAATCGGCTTTACAGAAGGAAGACTCAACAGTATTTTCACCTATTTCTCCATTTGCTTGAATCTGTCCCTTAGGTCAAAGTTGGCGGAGACGTACTCCAGGCCGAGCATCGCCAACTTCGGCCGCTCTCTGTTCGGGGGGTACTGCCCCACCTACGTGCCGGACTTTGTACTGCACGGAATGCCCAGCGACGACAAGCTCCGGCAAAGCCTCACGGGAGAGCTCGCCCACGCCGTGCAGGTACTGACCCGTCTGCTTTTCACACTCCACATGTGACGATGTCCAGAGACACTTTCCCCTTTAGATTACATTGTACTTTAAGAAATATCCACAAGGTAAATGCACAAGTGTTTAATTTGATCATTTGTGTTACGAACTACACCCTAGAAGTCACTGTATTACAACACAAATTTACAGTTGAACAGTGTTTATTTTAGCGCCCCCTGTCTGTATTAAATATTACTCACCTATAAAACGCAGTGACGACATCTGAAAACGCAGCAAGAGATTTACTGCTGGACTTCAGAGTGGTCCCGAAAATGTGAAAAACAGAAGTTGTTCATTTGAAAAAGTTTGCAGTGATACAAAGTTCTTCCTCACTTACCTCATGCATTTAGATCAGGGGTGTCAAACTCATTTTGGTCCGGGGGTCGTATCCAACCTATTTTGATCTCAAAGGGGCCGGATCAGAAAACTCATGTCATATAAACCCCAAAAATAACAATAAGTTCAAATATTTGTGCAAAGAAACAAAAATCTATAACAGAAATCGTTTTTAATTGAAAAACTCTTTCTTTTACAAAATATTATAATATTATGAACAACCTGAAACTTTAAGAAAAATGTAATTTCAACACAAAGTTTTAACATGAACTTGTATGTAAACAGGAATAAGTCCATTTTTGTTGTAAAATCCTGCACTCGGCTCCACTTTTCTCATGTTGGACATTTTTCTGATGAGGGTGTCACGGTCAACAGTCAAAACGATCGTCCTTTAAGAGCGTTTGGAAAGAGACAAGTCTTCATTTGTGCTGCTCTGGTGGGAGGGGCCACGTACAGAGACGCTGGAGACGCTGCTCTGATAAACACCACAGAAAATTAACAAGATTTTAGAAATAGTAGAAAATATCATAAAAATATTTTAGTAGAAAATCAGCCGAGGGCCAGATTAACGGTCTTGGAGGGCCGGATCTGGCCCCCGGGCCGTATGTTTGACACCTGTGATTTAGATCGTCCTCATTATTCACAGTGATATAAACTTTTATAAGCTTTAAAATCCATCACAAGGCCCACAAATGTATCTCATGTTGAAGAAAAGTTCAAATGAATGTTTCACATGTGTAAAAATCAAACATGGACCTGATATATAATCTAAATGTCTTGGGTCGGGATGTTGCCATGTTCACTCGTGTCTCTGTACTAAGTGAATGTCTCCTCCTCTGTAGCACCCGGTGTTGGACGAGCCGATCGCGGAGGCCGTGTGCATCATCGCGGACACGGAGCGCTGGAGCGTGCAGGTGGCCAGCTCCCAGAGGAGGGTCACAGACAGAGACCGACTGGGCAAAGAGGTCCTGGTCTCCAGCCTGGTCTCCAGCCTGCTCCAGTCCACACACCAGCTCTACCGGCTCAACCTCTCCCCAAACTTTGTACGTGATTTCACCAACTTATTTTACACTGTTACACTTCGGAATGATGTTGTTCAGGAGGCGTCTTTAGGCCGGGAGCCAGGTCCACCCCTCACCATGTTTTTTACTATTATTTCCTGTTATATTCTTGGGCCATCACGAGTTGATAGGGACCAACCCCAACTCGGCCCCGTTTGGGCTCAGGGCCCCAAAAACACACTTTTTAAGAAAAACTATTTGCAAAATTATGTAACTGTAAATATTAAGGTACTGTAACTGCATACATGGTCAAATAACCCTAAAATTTGGCATGGTTTATCCTGACACGTGGGGGAAACTAGAAGAAAAATATTTTGGGGCTTGCTGCGTTTCTACTGTCAAATATCACCCTCAACATGTCCTAAAAGACCAAAAAGTGTCTGTCCGCCTGACAAATTGTCATCAAAAGTGATCATTTTCAAGCATTTTATTGCATTTATCACTGCCTCAAATGTACATAAAAAACTTCCCATGATGTTACGGCCCCAGGCTTTAGTTCCAGTTTGTGTGATTTTGGCCAAGTTCTCCTAATTCCTGCTGCAGGAGCCCTGGTCTGTGATTGGTGGGGCAGGTCGACGCCCACCTCACCTGCAGCCACCTCCCCCTATTTAAGGAGATGACCAGCACCTGTTCAGGGCTGCTGGTCTTGGTGGACAGTCAGACATTTTGGTTTCGTGTGTGTTGTTTAGTTTAGTTCTGTTTTGTGCCTTTTTTTGATTTGGTCACTCGATTCTGTTTGTGGGTTTATGTGGTTTAATTTGGGGAACTTGTGTTTTAGTTTAGTGTGCGTCCCTAAGTTTTACCACTCATTTTGTGTAAGTCTGCGTGACCTCTTTTGTGGCACAAAACTCTGTTTATTCTGTTGTTCTGTTTCTTAGTTTAGGTTGTTTTCTGTATATTTTAGTCTGTTTTGTTAATTTACCTTTACATTCCTGTTAATTAAACATTATTTAATTTATTCCATTTTACATCTTGGTTTTAATTTTGTTACTTCCCTCACCCCAAACGAGCTGGGTCGTAACACATGGCTCCCGGCCGACTTGACTAGTTCAAATGGAGTCAGTGTGACCTTTCTGGCGAGTTCCTGCTCGTCTCCTTGGAGATGTTATTGTCTGGATTCTCCCTGTTACTCCCTGTTAAAAGTGTCCGGATTAGCAGACCACACCATAAGATCTTCATTTAAAGGTTGTATAGAGGATTTTTTTAAGGGAAGAGAAATACAGCGATCGTCCTTGTGCATGTGTGACACCACCTCCCTCAGTAGAAACATCTCCTCCCGCCTCCTTACTCTAGAACTCACGCATGTTTACAGCCGTGCGTGTTCAGAATTACTGTTGAAGTGACCTGTCTAGAAATATTTTAGCGACCGATGCGTCAGTTTTTAGACCCTTCGTCTGCTTCGGTCGCTCCATCGCTGGACGAGATCTCCAAGAATCACCTCAGTTTGGCTTTGCTCCTTTTCCACTTCTCTTCTTCTTTCAGCGACCTCAAAAACTGACTTTCTTTGGCGGCGAACCGGTCGTGGATTCTCGTCCGCCGTCGCGACAAACTTTGTGCGAAATGCGAGGAAGCGACAGTTTGAAAAAAGCCTCTAAGAACCTCTGCGTAAACCACGTAATCCCCAGCGCGCCGGCGAGTCAGTTACACTAGGGAGTTTGATTGACAACCCAACAGCCAATAGAAAATGAGGTAGCCTTGTTTTCTATTGGCTGATGTTTATCTGGCCTCACTACGTACACAGTTGATAGATTTTCATTCTTTTTTTTTTTTTTTTTTGGTCATCATAATTACAAAGCTGCTGCGTCTCTGTAACGATATTTTAAACTTTCACAGACAATTTGAAACTAAAAAAAAATCCTCCATACAACCTTTAAAAGGCTGTACCTGATTTTACTCTTTAAACATAAAAATTAGAACTATTATAATAACAAAAATTTACCAATGCTCTTGTTTTCTGCAAATCCACGGTAAAAGCTGCTTTCACAATACATCTGTACTGGAGCAAGAATGATGTAACTGTCAGATTTGTTCGTGTTAAACTGTTGTTGAGGGATTCTGATTGGTGTTTTGTGTTTTTCCTCAGTGTATAATGCACCTTGAGGATCGCCTGCAGGAGATCTACTTTAAGTCCAAGATGTTGGCCGAGTATTTAAAGGGACAGACCCGAGTCCACGTCAAGGAGCTGGGAATGGTGCTCGGGTAAGAGACGATTTTATTATTCGTTATTTTACGTGCACCTTTTCACCGCACAGGAGCAGGAGGAATAAACACAAAACTACAGAGTCATATGGATCTAACATGATCGTCGTATTTGTTTTCCTATTGCCAAAGTACTACTGTGTTTTGCGCACTATAGGACGCTCTGGATTATTGAACGGTCTATTTTCAAACTTTTTAAACCACACCGGACTATAAGGCGCATTAAACGGAAACACAACAGTTAGATAAGTCAGTCAAACTTTATTTAACGTGTTCACCGTAACTGCAAACTTTGTTCAATTGTAACGCATAAAAAAATACTGTCTGAGATTAGGGACGGGCATTCAGTGACATTTTCTTAATCGATTGTCGGAAGAATTAACGTTTGATTATTGATTAATCCTGATTTAGTCATGTTAAATCCTGTTTTAGTCCTGGTTTAGTCCTAGTTTAGACCTGGTTTAGATCTAATTTAGACCTGGTTTTAGTCCTGGTGTAGATCTAGTTTAGACCTGGTTTAGACCTGGTTTTAGTCCTGGTTTAGATCTAGTTTAGACCTGGTTTAGATCTAGCTTAGACCTGGTTTTAGTCCTGGTTTAGACCTGGTTTAGATCTAGTTTAGACCTGGTTTTAGTCCTGGTGTAGATCTAGTTTAGACCTGGTTTAGACCTGGTTTTAGTCCTGGTTTAGATCTAGTTTAGACCTGGTTTAGATCTAGCTTAGACCTGGTTTTAGTCCTGGTTTAGACCTGGTTTAGATCTAGTTTAGACCTGGTTTTAGTCTTGGTTTAATCCTGGTTTAGATCTAGTTTAGGTCTGGTTCTGTCCTGGTTTAGACCTGGTTTAGTTTCCAGCAATGAGTGGAATTACCAAAACAAAAAAACAAAAAAAAGTGAAAACAGGAAAATCCCGCTGTGTAATCCATTTATTTCAACAAAGTAACTGTAATCCAATTACCACTCTCTGAAACAGTAACTGTAACTGAATACAGTTACTCATCATTTGTACTCTGATTACTCCGGTACTTGTAATCTGTTACTCCCCAACACTGTCCATCTATTATAATTTGTGCCATTTAACAAGTGGGTCTGTTCTGGTGGGGAACTTGCAACTTGGACTTTTTTTTTTTACCAGCTCTGCAGAACTGACATTTGTGAATTTGTTACCTGCCAGTAGCTTATATAAATGTATATATTTGATGTTTTGAAAATAATAAAAATATTTTGATTAAAAACAAAAAAAAACAACATTTCGATCTTGTAATGTAAACCAGGGGTGTCAAACTCATTTTGTTCCGGGGGTCGTATCCAACAGATTTTGATCCCAAAGGGGCCGGATCAGAAAACTCATGTCATATAAACCCCAAAAATAACAATAAGTTCAAATATTTGTGCAGAGAAACAAAAATCTATCACAGATTTTTTTTTTTTATTGAAAAACTCTTTCTTTTACAAAATATTATAATATTATGAACAACCTGAAACTTTAAGAAAAATACAATTTCAACACAATATTTTAATATGAACTTGTTTAACATGAACTTGTATAAATAGGAATAAGTCAATTTTTGTGGTAAAATCCTGCACTCGGCTCCACTTTTCTCATGTTGGACATTTTTCTGATGAGGGTGTCACGGTCAACAGTCAAAACGATCGTCCTTTAAGAGCGTTTGGAAAGAGACAAGTCTTCATTTGTGCTGCTCTGGTGGGAGGGGCCACGTACAGAGACGCTGGAGATGCTGCTGTGATAAACACCACAGAAAATTAACAAGATTTTAAGAGAAAATAGAATTTAAATATTTTAGTAGAAAATCAGACAAGGGCCAGATTAAAGGTCTTGGAGGGCCGGATCTGGCCCCCGGGCCGCATGTTTGACACCTGTGATGTAGACAGTTTATTACAAACCTACAATAACGTCTACAGATGTATCAGATAGCTCATCTTGTGTCCTCTTTTGCAGAATCGAGTCCAGCGACCTCCCGCTGTTGGCCGCGGTCGCCAGCACCCACTCCCCGTACGTGGCTCAGATTCTGCTATAGTCTCTCCAGTCGACTGTGATCGAACCAAACTCCCTCAAAAAGCACCAGCGGGACCGGCGGCCGTCGCGGCGCCCGGGACTCCTTCACCTGCTGCTGGACAAACAGGAAAACTACACGCGGGCGGGTTTTCTACACTAGGGGGCGCACGCGGACACTTACGGAGCGAGTGAGGACGTCCTGCTCGATGTCTCCTGTTTTTTCGAATGTTTGCCTGCAAGAACTTTGTGGATACAAGCCAAAGACTGTACAATTTCTGTTCTGAAACGTTCAAATGTCTACAACAATACTCTAATAACCGATATTTAGTTTTACATACAATCTTTGAAAAGAAGTCAACAGATATTTTACATTTAACGTTAGATAATGTTTCTTCACTTTATTTTTTTGTATTTGTTTACAAGACAGATTTCTCAGTAGTTCATTTAAAGCTGCGCGATGTCACTTTTCTGGTAGGGGGTCCCGTAGCTGCTCGTCTCCACGGTGATGTTATTACTGTGCCTGAAAAGTTCCACAGTATGGCTTATTTGTTTAGCATGCTCACAGCTTGTCTCTGCACAGATCTGACCTGTAACCTGGTAACCTGATACACAGTGTTGGGAAGGTGACTTTTAAAATGTAATCCCCTACAGATTACAGATTACATACCCCAAAATGTAGTTTGTAACAGAATCCATTACATTACTTAAAGTGAGTAATGTAATCTGAATACTTTGGATTACTTGATTTGCTGTAGAGAAGCAAAGACGAGGAAATCTTCACATAAGATAAAAAATATTGATATATTTTATATTTATATTAGAGGACAAGACATGTCAGCATGGTTTAGTTCTGTTAAATCCTGTTTTAGTCCTGGTTTAGTCCTGGTTTAGACCTGGTTTAGACCTGGTTTAGATCTAGTTTAGACCTGGTTTAGATCTAGTTTAGACCTGGTTTTAGTCCTGGTTTAGATCTAGTTTAGACCTGGTTTAGCTCTAGTTTAGACCTGGTTTTAGTCTTGGTTTAGATCTAGTTTAGACCTGGTTTAGTCCTGGTTTAGACCTGGTTTTAGTCCTGGTTTAGACCTGGTTTAGTTTCCAGCAATGAGTGGAATTACCGAAAAAAAATAATAATAATAATGTGAAAACAGGAAAATCCCTCTGTGTAATCCATTTATTTCAACAAAGTAACTGTAATCCAATTACCACTCACTGAAACAGTAACTGTAACTGAATACAGTTACTCATAATTTGTACTCTGATTACATAACCCCAGTACATGTAATCTGTTACTCCCCAACACTGCCGATACATCTAATGCCGTACTGCGGAACATTGTCATCAAAGCAACATCATCTCTGTGGAGAAGAGCAAGTGTCAGATACATTCCGCCAGAAAAGTTACATATTGCAGCTTTAAAGACACTTCTATAAATATGAAAAAGAAAAATATTGTGGAAAATTTAAATCAGTAATTTTACATTTTTAAACGGAAAAAATTATTCTGTTTGTAATTATTGTGGCTAAAATATCATCGAAAAATAACACTTTTTTTTTTTTTTTTTTTTTTAAAGAATCAGAAATGTTTTGTAGAAAGAGCATAGATTTGTTTACTGTAATAATTCAAATTTTCCACAACATTTGAATTTACGAACACATTTTTGAACTCAGTCTGGGTTAGATTTGACTTTCTGTTGGTACAAAAATGGCAGGTTTCACGATGGCTCGATCTCGTCGGTACAGCAGCTCTACCTCACCAACACCGAGGTCGTCATTTTATGGTGTTTGGAATCAACTCGGACCCAACGCTGTGTTCTTCTATTGGACAAAAAAAAAAAAAAAACTGAACTGATTCATTTGAGTTTGTTTCATTTACAAAAACAAGTTTCTTTTACAAACTTGGAAATTCTACGCCACCGATTTCTATATTTTAAAATGCTGAAATATTTTCTCACTTTTATAGCTTTGCCACATTTTGTACGTGTTTACGGCAGGTTTTTTGCTGGAGTTTAGGAATTTTACAAAGGAAATCCCCCCGACAAGTCTATCTGTTCTTCCAACAAGCGTATACTGTTTCTGTTTAAAGCTGCACCGTGTAACTTTTCTGGTGGAGCGTCTCATTTTAGCCTTAAAGGTTGTATAGAGGATTTTTTAATGAAAGTGAAATACAGCGACAGTCCTTTTTCAGATATTGTGCATGCGTGACACCACCTTCCTCCTCCACCTCAGTAGAAACATCTCCTCCCGCCTCTTTACTCTAGAAATCACGCTTTTTTTACAGCCAGTGCGCGTTCAGAATTACTGTTGAAGTGACCCGTCTAGAAATATTTTATTTCATTTTTTTTAGACCCTTCGTCGGCTTCAGTCGCGCCATCGCTGGAAGGAATCTCCAAGAATCACCTCAGTTTGTCTTCGCTCCTTTTCCCGTTTTCTTCTTTCAGCGACCTCAAAAAAGGACTTTCTCTTGCGGCGAACCGGTCGTGGATTCTCGTCCGCCGTCGCGACAAACTTTGTGCGAAATGCGAGGAAGCGACAGTTCGAAAAAGCCTCTAAGAACCGCTGCGTAAACCACGTAATCCCAGCGCTCCGACGAGTCAGTTACACTAGGGAGTTTGATTGACAACCTAACAGCCAATAGAAAATGAGGGAGCCTCGTTTTCTATTGGCTGATGTTTATCTGGCTTCACTACGTCCACAGTTGATAGATTTTCATTCTTTTTTCTTTTTTTTTGCTCATCATAATTACAAGGCTGCTGCGTCTCTGTAATGGTGTTTTAAACTTTCACTGACAATTTGAAACAACAACAAAAAATCCTCCATACAACCTTTAAATGTTCCACAGTATGGCTTTAAATTAGTCTATCATTCGTAAATTCACTCACAGGTATTTTTATTGGTAGAAATCCATTGTAAAAAATATGTCATGTAAATGTTTTGGGGGTCACTTTTCCACAGACCTGACCTGTAAACTTGGAGCCTGGACACTGATCGGTTTAATGCCATACTACGGAACATTCTAAGCAAACCAGAAAAGTGACTTGGCGCGACTTGAATGTGACGACGACGCGACTTCGGATGCGGTCGCCGGGGTGCGGTGCGGTAAAGGACGGAAAGACCGGTCGCCGTAGTGACGACTTATTTGTAGTCGCGCTTTAAAATCGGCAAAACGTTTCGGCCCTCGAGAAGCGGTGGCGCAGTGGTTCAGCGTCAGCCACAAACACGGAGGTTGGCAGTTCAGTCCCAGCTCAGCCCGTAATGTTCCACCATACTGCATTAAACTTATCTATCTCCATGGCGCAGGACTTTTTGTTTTGGCGCGGGACTTTTTGTTTTGGCGCGAGACTTTTTGTTTCGGCGCAGGACTTTTTGTTTAGGCGCGGGACTTTTTGTTTAGGCGCGGGACTTTTTGTTTTGGCGCGAGACTTTTTGTTTTGGCGCAGGACTTTTTGTTTTGGCGCAGGACTTTTTGTTTTGGCGCAGGACTTTTTGTTTTGGCGCGGGACTTTTTGTTTTAGAGCGGGACTTTTTGTTTTAGAGCAGGACTTTTTGTTTTGGCGCAGGACTTTTTGTTTTGGCGTGAGACTTTTTGTTTTAGAGCAGGACCTTTTTGTTTTAGCGCAGGACTTTTTGTTTTGGCACGGGACTTTTGTTTTTGGCGCGGGACTTTGTTTTACCGAATCGCACCCTGAAACGACCCGAGTCTTAAACACAAACACAAGGCAGAAATGAGACCTGATTTTGCTGGTACATTTTGGGAAAATCTTTTGAAACCTCTTCACGTTGCTGTATCCTCCACACGACTCTGACGGCCCTCTCCACTGTGTCGACAAAGTTCACATTTTTATTTGTAAATGGTAAGTTATTGAGCGTTAAAAGTTGGAGCTGTACATACTGGGTTTATTTACATGTATTTGTACAGAATGTCTAAAGAATTGTCTCCTCAAATTATTTTTTCCCAATTTTATGGGAATGTTGTGCAATAAAACGCCTATGTTTAAACAGCTCATGGAGTTTGTGTCTCTGACTTTGCACTGCAGTTTACTATGAGCTTTGACTGACATCCACAACACTCTTTCCAAAGAAAAGACTCTAGTCACCAGAGGAACCGATGGGTTCAGATGGGTGTGATTGGCAGGTGGGTGGGTTAGTTAGTCAGGGACAAGAACGGTTCATCTGTATCAAAACAAAACTGCTGCTTAAGAGGAAAAAAAGTGTCACAGGACTGAAACGTGGCAGATTCTGCAGAGTCAATGTGACACTTCATTTTGTATTTTTACCACCAGTAAAAAGTTTGGACATATGCTCTCCAGAGCCCGACCGATATGGATTTTGTTGTTGCCGATATGAAACCGAAATAATCACCGATATATGTAGTGATGTAAAAATTCACTGTAAATCTTGAATTGTATAAAAAAAACTTAGGTTTGGCTCTAGTGGATTTTAAATTGGGTTTATTTAAGCAACATTTATTGTTCTGCCTCTTTGTGTCATATTTACAGACAGTAGATCACATTCTAGCTACTAGTGATGGGCAGCAGGACTAAACCAGAACTAAACCAGGTCTAAACAATATGACACTAACAGTAGGTTGGACATAATTTAAGGTGATCTCATATAAAAATAATTTCTCTATCAATAATATTTTTAATATGGTTAAGGAAAGACTGAGCTTTTTATTTTCTTTTAGCAGATAAAACATCTTACGTGAACATTTCCTAGTCTTTGCTTCTCTACAGTAAAACAGTTGCTTATTCATTTAGACTTGGACTCAGACAATTTGAAGAAAACAAACAAGAATTTTCAGGATGTGGTTGGTTCATTCATGTAGTTTTAAAAAACATGACAATATCAAGTAATCCAAAGTATTCAGATTACGTTACTCACTTTAAGTAATTTAATGGATTACGTAACAAACTACATTTTGAGGTGTGTAATCTGTAATCTGTAGGGGATTACATTTTAAAAGTCACCTTCCCAACACTGTGTACAGGACAGAGAAAAGTACATTGAACCAGCACACTCACTATACACACAACACACTGATCTGATTCTGAATCTGATTTTTTTTTCCTTTGTTATTTTCAAAAATGACCACAAATTTATTATGCAAGACATATGGAATTATGTAGCAAAGAAAAAAAAAACTAGATAGATTTGATATTGGCTTTCTCTCAGTGAGCTTCATGATAAAATTTCCTGAAATAGTTTTCACTACAGAAAGAAAAATACATTACTGCAAAAGAGTGGCCAAACTTCTGTGTTCTTTGGGGAAAGTGAGGTTTTATTGTTCGGAGAGAAGTTATTTGAGTAAACTCCAATAGGACATCGTTGTCTGACAAATGTGTTTTCCCTCATTTCTTCATGCAGACTGATGGTCACATCACCTAAATGACATAAAATCAGAATAAAAACAAAACAAAAAAATGCTTATGATTATCTATTAACAGAATAATCTTCAGTCCCTGCCAAAAAAATGAGATTTGAGGATGTGGAATAATCTCCCATAAAGGAGTCATTTAAACTGCCCACTGCAGGCTGCTTCATTAGGTCACTACAGCTCATGGCAAAAGCAACAGACCCTGCGTCCTGTCAGGGCTCGGGCCTAAAGATTCAACTCAGTTTTATTTTACATTATTCAGTCAGTCCACATCTGCTGGGGGTAAGTTACTATTGTAGCCACAGCTGCCCTGGAGCAGACTGACAGAAATGAGGCTGCCGATCCAACGCTATCGGCCTCTCTGACCAACACTCTCACACACACCACTTTCATACTAGGCAAAGTGGGCAAAGTGTCTTGCCTAAGGACACAACAGCAGTCTGCACTCAAGCCACTGCTGCCCCATAGAAACACAAATAGTTAGAAGTGCACATGGGTTCACAAGAACATTAAACTTGATTGTGAGGCAACCCCGTTTCCAATAAGAATGCAAGTTTATCAAGTTTAATGTCATATTGAGAAACATTTCAAACCAAGAAGTATGTGCTGGACCGTGACACCCACCGCAAATATTACGTATTTCACCTTATAATAGATAAAACATAAAAAGAGTAACTGAGTGAGAAACACTGAGTGACACTGGGAAATATTCATGTAGTTAATACGATGAAGTGAGAGTCAGGAGCAGGACCAGGCCTCAGCCGCCCTCTCCTCTCACCAGCCAACCACAACTCACCTCAACCACGCCTCCAATTTCCCAGAAGCCTATTTGTAGCAGCCTTTCCCATCATCCCAGTTTGTCTCGGCGAACTCGACCCCACCCTCCCATCCCCTATTTTGTCTTTCAGTCATAAGATCCAGCTGGGCCAATTGTAGATTGAGACGGAGCCTCAACCAGCATCTCTGCCTCGCTTCGTACATTATCAATAAACTTCTTCGCACTATGTCGTTGTTGGCGTGGTCCTAGCTAGTGAAACTATATTAATAGTCATCAAATAATTATATAAACCAAGTTTGTAGCACTTTTTCACTCACCAGGCCATAGTTATGTAACCACCTTCTCTCTGGTAGAGGGTTTCCAGCCAAAAGTGCACAGGGTAATGTCACCTGCTGATCCTCCACCACACTGAGAACTGTGGGGCTCAACATAATGGCAGGAGAGACTGCAGAACAACAAATAAGACACACATTAGGCCACAGGTGTCAAACATAAGGCCCGGGGGCCAGTTCTGGCCCTCCAAGACCTTTAATGTGGCCCCTTATTTTCTACTAAAATACTTTAAATGTTGAAATTGAATTTTTCTTAGTTTCAGGTTGCTCATAATATTATAATAAGAAAGAGTTCATCAATTAAAAAAGATTTCTGTAATAGATTTGTGTTTCTCTGCACAAATATTTGAACTTATTGTTATTTTTGGAGTTTATATGACATGAGTTTTCTGATCCGGACACTTTGGGATCAAAGTAAGTTGGATACGGCCCCTTGACCAAAATGAGTTTGACACTCCTGCTTTAGGCAATCACAACATTTCTAATCTGGGTTTAAATATGTTTTCAATCGTTACATCATTAAAAAAAATCTGCTCATAGTCCGTTGCTATTAGAGAAGAAGGTTAAAGCAACACTATGTAACTTTTCTAGTGGAGAGTCCACTAGAAAAATATGGTCTCTGTTATTCTCAGTGGTCTCCAGTACAAGTTCTGACCTACTTATCATGGACGGTATTGCCACATTATAGCAAGAAATTTATTTAATTTATAATTTTTCAGAAATGTTGTGAGCACCTCATCACTGAAAAAACTAAATTCAACTTGAGCAAGATCATGAGAATAAAACATTGGCCTCCATAGCTCCAAAACTCCATTTTGCATCACGTCTTTAAGCCACAGCATTTACAGGGATGTTTTATCACGTTCCTGACTTCAGACAAACATGGACTCTCTTCTCTGCCTCATCTTCCCGTGTTAGTGTCTGGTGTTGTGTTACCGGCTCAGATGGTCGTGGTACTTGAGGTGCTTGATGTCCTTGGCCAAGCTCAGAGTGATGGAGTCATCCTCGTCGTTTTATCTACCATTTCAGAAGAAAACAAGGCAAAACAAATAAAAGAACTTGATTTAGACAGAGACAAACTACCTGTTGAAAGAGCTCTATGTAACAAGTGTTTGCCTATTACTACATAATAAAAGTGTAATAAATGTGTAATAGATGTTACTGTAATAACCCTGTAGTGACTGTGTTATAACCGTGTAATAACTGTTATGAGTATTTGTAATTAACAAGGTGGAATGATCAGAAGATCCTAAGTAAGGCTACTGGAGGGCAGGGGCAGTAAACTGAGACATGGGTTTAGTTGAAAAATGAATAAAGTGTTTTATACAGGGAGAAAGTGAGAACAAAATATACAACAGCTGCAGCAACAAAAACAAACTTCAATTAAATGTCCTTGCGAACTGGGTCTGTTTGCCCAGGGTGTAAAACGGAGTCCAAGCTATTTCAAAGTCCAGTATTAATTATATTGAGGGGGTATGATGTCCATAAGGAGGAGGTGGGAGATAGAGGACAGGCGGTTCGCCTCCTACCAGACCGAAGCGCTCAAAAGGATAGTTCCTCGCTCGCCATCAAATTGAACCCAAGTTTGGGCACCTGGTCTGTGTGCACATTAAGAAAGGCCTCTTAGAACATGTTTACAGTTAGCATTAGCATTAACATTACAAGAGTTCATAAGTCAGTCTGTCACAAGATACAACTGATCATGTGGAGCAAGTGTTAGCATTAGCATGCTAGCTGTTAGCATGCTAATGCTAAGCTAACATTGACATATGCTACATGGAGCGAGACATAGAGCCCTGACAAATAGCATTAGCACTAGCATACAAAGCCACAAGAACAAAAGTCATTAAATAAATCAATAAATGGGGTTCAGTTCTGACTCACCAGTTCAGTTTTGTTTCAGTGTATTGAAAGCACACGTGACAATGTCGCACAACAGGTCTGGTTCTAAAAGGTGTGAATGGTGAAGTTAAAAACGGGAAACATGAGAATTTGAAACGAAAAAAGTGTAGCTGTACTGACCTTCAAGCTCTGTCCCCTGGCTTCTCTCCCACACAACTGAGGAGAGAGAAGTCAGGACCTTATATACTCTGACTGGGGATGTGTGATTGGATCATTGGTGAAATGGGCGGTGTGACAGGTGGTGACAAATCATGTGGAGAGGGGAAAACCTGGGTTGGATCTAGATAAGGGGATTGAATTTTACCCTGGTTAAAATGACATGGAATATAGAAAATGATACATTTGGATTCCAGATTTCAGTCAAAACTAAGTCACTTACCAGAAGAGCTGTTCTGTCCACTGTAAGTTCTGTCTATGACCCCCTGGGCCTGGTAGCTCCATTTGTGCTAAAAGCAAAACTTATCCTGCAAAATCTCTGTCAAATTAAGTGCAGATGGGATACAATTACTCCCAGTGAATTGTGTCAATGTTATGAAAAGTGGTTATCTGAGTTGGAACAACTAAAACATTTTCAAATAAACAGACGTCTAAAACCAGAACTTTGACAAAACAACAACAGCTCAGTTACATCACTTCTCTGATGCAAGCGAGCAGGGGTACAGCACAGGCAGCTACTGG